CTAAAACCTACACAAATGACGCAAATAACTACAAAATGCAGGACGGCGTGGCCTAGCAGTAGAGCGCTAGCCTGCAAAGCCGAAAGTCTTGAGTTCGAATCCGGTACCCAGCTCTAAGGGGTACCTAGCTCACGTCAAGAAACAAGCGGCTGATCAAAGTGAACTATACTTCATCTGCGCCATGTGTTTTATGGGCACTAATGCGGAAAAAATATGATGAGATTATGAACTACCGAATACAGAATCAAATAACAACGATGCACTGATGCTAATCACTATGCATTAACGCCATTATCTACCAATCATTGTTTCCCAATAACTAAGTAACACTGATGCAAATTTCAACGCATCCACCCCAACAGCTACCTGAATAACTACACACAGTTCACACCAATAACTACCAAATAGTAAAAGATTGATGCATTGACGGTAATAACTACGACCCATAGACTCAATAACAACAATGAACGGTTGCCAATTACGACAAACTGACAGTAGCATCTACAAATCATTGCCTCTATTAACTACGGCACAATGACTTCATAAAAAACGACGCACTAACCCCAATACCACGGACGTAGTATTTAGACATCTTCACCAATAACTACCAGATAGTGACTCCAAATAGTAATAATTGATGCATTGACGGTAATAACTACGACCCATAGACTCAATAACAACGATGAACTGTTGCCAATTACGACAAACTGACAGTAGCATCTACAAATCATTGCCTCTATTAACTACGGCACAATGACTTCATAAAAAAACGACGCACTAACCCCAATACCACGGACGTAGTATTTAGGGTAAACGGAAAAAAAAGTCACAGGAAAAAAAACACAGAAAAAAAGTCACAGTTTTGCTAGGAAAAAAAGTCACAGAAAAAAAGTCACAGTGGAAAAATTTTATCGGAAAAAAAGTCACAGAAATAAAGTCACAGAAAAAAAGTCACAAAATTTTTTTTAGAAATATTTTGATTTATTTGTTAAGAATTGTAAAATTGTGTATGTTTATTGTTGTGGGTTGTATTTTTTGATGGCATAAATTATTTATAGACGTTAAAAGCATTATGGTTTATAAACAATTGTAAGTAAAAATACTCTTAGATAATTTACACAACAACCTCAACTTTTGTTACGCATTTAGTTTAATACGCTGTAGAAAAGTTAATTATAAAAGAAATTTAGGCTAATTTGGCCGTAGCGTATTCTCTGGTTGGCCTCTCCTCAGTAGGCATTGTCCGAACATATTTTGTGTTTTTGACGTTATGCGTCAATGACCGCCTTTAAACCCTTGTCGCTTTCTGTTTTAATCCTAAGTTTTGTTATGTAATGAGCGTGATAAATGTGGGCAGTAAAGGTGGTTGAACTAAACATAACTATTGTTGCCATGAGTTGAGGGCAGCAAGTCAGAAGAACTTACTATTTCTCGGTAATTTAATGTTAGTATTAAAAAAAAAAACACGATGAAAACCGTGGACTTTGGAGCATTCTATTAAATGCTACTAATCTTAAGTTTAACATAATTAACATCTACATACTTCATACTAAGTATTTTTAGATAATTATAAAAATTACCATGCGTATACAGCCTACACACATTACATTACACTTAATTAATCCTAAGTTAATTTGCACTCTCTAAATATTTAATACATAAAAGTATTAACAAATATCATGCAAATATATATTTGTGACTTTTTTTCCTGTGACTTTTTTTTCCTGTGACTTTTTTTCCTGTGACTTTTTTTCTGTGTTTTTTTTTCCTGTGTTTTTTTTTCCTGTGACTTTTTTTCCTACAATCGTATTTAGACATCTTCACCCCCCCCCCCCCCCCCCCCCCTCCAATCGATGGTTGTTCTGATTTATTTATAAAGCTTTCTATTACCTCCCCTTATCATTTCACCGTGGCCCATCTTGCCAGGATAGCCTCGCGAACTTCTCTCTGAAAAACCTGGACAAGTAAATCCAATGTTTGTTTAGCTTGACCTCTAGACGCTTTGTTCACGTGCTCCAGCTGTCTGGACCTCAGACACGCCACGGCCTGCCCGCCACGTGTTGTTTTTGTTGGTGCTCGACTACACGCTTGACCAATCACCCGTGGCCACTCAATGGTCCACTTGGCCACAGTTAGGGCCTATTGTCTGCGCCGATCAACACCATAGAGTGATATATAGCTCAGACTTAATGCTGGCGCCCATACCATGTAATCATTACAACGACATAGTTAGCATCAACGTTGTTATAATTTCAAAACACAATAGAACTTAATCATTCTATACAAGTACATTTCTCCGTCAAATTTATTATCTTCTTCAACAAAGATCAACATAGTAGACGGTCGTATCCACATTTGCAACCTCCTATATACCTTCGAACTTGAATAGCTAGTAATAGCAACCTTGCAAAGCTTATACTTGAAGCTAGACACGAGTAAACAAAATCTAGGATTTCTTTATTAAGTTGTGCCTGTCGACTAGTTATGCACCATTTAGTCGTAGGTTCCGATTTCAGCCTACTTTTCTTCTTGGATTTGCTTCCATAGCCTTTGTCCAACCAAGAACAAACTAAAGACATCAGTTGTGTGATTTTGGAATTGTCTCTCCTAGAAGAGCTGCTGTCCCTAGCTATCGGGCCTCATCTGCCCGAGGGTTCGAACTTTAAAAAAAATTTAGCAACCATGAGCTTTGTCGACTCGACCACCCTACGTGATTGTCTATCAGGATCTATTCCCCCTCCCCCCCCCCTGCTATGCACCCCCCCCCCCTTCCATCCAACACACTCCAAATATATCTTTTTTTATTGGGCGTCAGTCCTTATCTCCAATCAAACATAATCTACGTCACAAGGCTTAAGCTGGTGGGAGTCAAAAGCTACAGCCTGCGCTGTGTATCGTATCGTGCTCCTATAATGACAACACAGTGTACCGCTAGAATTATTGACGTGCGTAAACACGGCGAACAAAATATTCGCGGTTGCGTAAACCCGCGACAGGTGCGAAATAATTTAACCCTCTAGTATCTACACATATGACATCTGTTGGAAAATTGCGATACGGCGGTTAAATTTCACGCATGCGCATTGAAATTTAACCCGCGTTTGAAACCTTTCGTCGCCTACTCAATTCACCCTCTACTTAATTCAACACACTCGATCGCAGTCAGCTTAATATTATTGCGAAACAGCATAATTGTAATTAATTGATGCCGAGTTGATTAATTTCCCCTCACAAAGTACGTATATTTACTTGTCAACTCCAAACAATATTTACGCCTGCGACAACTAGCAGACGTAACCAACCAAACTTGTTCCCGTCGTAACATACTGATCGTGACAACTCTCCCCCCCCCCCCCCCCCCCCCCCACCCCCACGACCCCTCGCCTCAGCTATATGTTGCAACTAACCAAACCGATCGCAGTCGTGTATTAAGTGTAAAAATAGGTCAGCCATTAGAAAATTAGTTTGCTTCTCTTTGTGGGTGTTTGTTTCGTTTCACGTCAACCTACGCCTGCATTTCGACATATCCAGTTCGTGGTTTGAGCTGATCTACACGCGATTTGTTTTGTCGTGGTGGCTTTGTTTTTTAAAAAAACTTACACGCTCGGAACCGAAACGAAACCTAGGATGTGGAAACAACCGAAAATCCCCGGTAGAAGTTGGACATTTCTTAACCAGAAACTGAATCCTACGTGTTTTTTCTGGGTAACTTAAACCTGGATGCTTTTTTTTCCCATTAGGACTTTTCTCGACTACTTTGTTACAAAACTTCCTCGATAATTCAACCACCAAAAATTTTGCAAGATTTGTTTTTGTTATGGAGGACCAAAAACGTGTATGCATCGTTAGTTTATTTTAACGTGGGTGGTTAAGCGTGGGTTGATGCATTTTGATTTGTTATTGCATTGTGGGAAACATATTTTAATTCAAATCTTCAATAGTTGAGGGTTTTTTTTTTTGTAGTTGAAACAAAGCTTTATAGTACAAAGCATAAGCAACGCAGGAGAATCTGCATAAAAGACTACTGCTCAAAGTGTCGCAGTTTTGTCCAATCAGGAGTAGCGTGCAAACCTGCTATCGATCCATACGTGCGGCCTCAGATCTCCAACCCAGCAACAATGCAGTACCTAGCCGACAAAGGTCTTGTCTTTCTTGTTCACATTAACGGAAACGATTAATCACATTTGCATCTCAGTTAAGTAATTAAGCGATGCACGGATGTCTCCGAGATTTTAATTATTCATTACAGACTGCATGAACAGTGTATGAGCAAAAGTGCATTTAGTTAAGCACGCATTTAACTTACAAAAAATTTAATCTGCATTGCATAGATATCAAACTGTTACGCGCGCGATTTTAAAAAGTTGAATTTAAAACGGAAAATTAAAAAGCCCACGTAAATTCTAATGTTTAAATGGCAAGCGACTTGTCTAAACTTGTTGGTCGCGAGGCGATTCTACGTGCAGTAGGGACCTGCTTTGTACGGAGACTCGAACAAGGAAAAGCATCGCGTTCTTTATCTCTGTATAGCACAAAGAGTCGCCGGAGCACAAAGCCCCCGTCGGTCCTCCCCGTACACTTGCCCAGGCATGAACCTCAGCCAGAGTGACCTCTTTCCCCCATTTTTCTAGGTCACAGCTGATCATCGATCGTCCGTATCTACCCACCACTCGGCTCTTTGTTGTACCAACCGTCACATAGGTGCGCGGGTTGCTTTCTCTTCGCTTTTGCAACATCCAGCATTTAAACCATCACTTCAATGAAAATTATAAGCATGTCCGTTTAACAATTTAAACTTGCTATATCCTGGACAACTCTATCCAGGCGAAATAAATAAATAAATAAAACAAACTACCAGCGAGCGGGGCGGAGTGAACGTGACCTACTTTCACGCCACCGACTTTGTCGTCGCGCAGTGGTGGAGGTTTCGTCTCCAGCCAATCAGAATCGTCCGACATCGCGAGCCCGTCTCGCGGGGGTATAAAATGCCCACGTCACCTTCAAACAAAGCTAAATCTGGTTTGGATCGCTAGAGTGGTGAACTTTGGTTCGTAGAATCAGTGGAATTTACGTGTTTGAAGTCTTTATTGGAGTATTATTTTGTGTGCTATTTCTTGTTGCAACGTCGTCGTTCATCATGTACACCGAGACACAGATTCAGTGCGCACTTTGCATGTCTGCGGATATCTCTTTGAGCAAACTTAGCGAGGATTTAGGCGAGCAGAGCGATCCAACTGGAGAAAAAACACAAAAGTGAGTACAACTTGCATTTCTATGCAACATTTATTATAGATCTGTTACAAAGCCTAGATTCTAGTAGTATTTATGTGGTCTATTTAGTTACTTAAATTGCAGAAAGTTGCATCTGCATATCTTCTTGCACGAACATTCTAGTGATGTTTGAAAATGCTATGAGTGCCTTTGCACTTTTACTGATAGCTGCATTAAAAATAGATTCACCCATACTGAAACGCAACGTGATGGCAAAATTAGGGCATTGCGTATGCTGCTGTCCCATGACATGGTGGAATAGTATTTGACAAGTGGGTTCAAAGTATTATCATCTACGACTAGACTTACGTAATGCGCATCTTGCTAAAACTTTAAAACATTTTTGCAACTTCAAAACTATTAGAAGAGAGACCAACGCTTATATTTATTTGTTAGTTTTATTGCAAGTGTTTGTGTTTTTGCACGATATGATACAACGCAGTTCATGCAAAAAAGATCGACATTTTTTTCCCCCGTGAGTGGAAAAAATTGTGGCTCAAACGTCCACGTGGACCCACCCATTAACTCCTCCCACGGTTGCTATTTTTAGCTCAACTTCTCGCGCAATACCATCCCGCCCAGTAAGGTCAACGTCGCTAGCGGGGGTGGCTCTCGGTTGGTGAAATTTAAGGATGCCAGTAAACAACGCCTTTTTGTTGCCGATATTGCAATATGTTGCCACATTGGAAACTTAATGAGCAGGCAATATTTGTTTTTTAACTTTCAAAAAGTTTAGAGGTGTAAAGTTCAGTTGAGACCAATCAAGACCTAAACCTAGATCTACTTTTCATTCGCATATTGCTGAATGTTATCGAATTCTGATGTAGGCCTGATTTAATAACATTGCACGCACATACCAATATTGATTCTACGTTGTAATCTAGATCTTAGATGTAGATAAGTTTTAACTCATAAATTTTTAAGGAAAAAAGTTATTTCCCTTCGTACGCAGTCTGCTAGTTCTACCTGTTTCCACCCTAATCTAGTACCCTCATCCACACCTTATTTCCTCCACCCGAGTTTGTACCGTCTGCTCCGCTTGGGTGAAGGTTAGCAACCGTGAGACAGGGCGAGTCATTGGGGGAAAACAGACGGGGAGTGTCGCTCTTGTATAATAGGGGGTAGAAAGTGAGTCATTCAGTGCAACTTACGATGTTGATGAATCAGCGATGGTACGACTCATCTCCCCATCAGATATTGACATCTTGTATTTGTTTGTTTTTTATACATATTTTTTATAGCTATTTTTACTAAATTCTTTATTTATTTTCTTTCTCCAGAACGTGGTTGACTATCAGTGAAGCATTGGCCATCACATTAAAGCAGGCTTTGCAGCAGAAGAGAGTTACAATGGGCGTGCACGATTGTGCAAAATTACTTAGATGGTAAGTTTAAATTCTTTAAAAAAATATTAGCTACAATTTGCATTCTTATTCTCATTGTAAGTTTTATTTTTATAATATTTAATCTTTAATGCAATTTTGTTTTGAATTATGCATCTTTAATAAATTTTGTTTCTTTTTTTTTAAACAGCTCTCCTAATAGAGTAATGATGTGTGTCTTACCTGAACTGACCACTGATGATTTGTCCATGCACATCCATCATACCTTGGTCAAATCTTTCTGCTGGGAGCATGAAATTAAACTTTTAATGGTAAGCTGCACTTCTCATTTAACTCACTTGTATATGTTTAAACTATACACTTAATGGCTACGATTTACTATAATTTTAGCACTTCATATATTATTGTTAACAAGTTTATTTTATTTTGCAATGTTATCTTATAAAAAACAAGTGTTTAATTTGTTTTGTTATTTAATTTTGCAGGTTAAAAATGAGCAATGCCTTCTGGACCTGGTCAAGGGCTGCCCAGAACACGCTAACGCCACGGAGAAATCAGTTTCTTGCCTTATGATTGAGTACCCTCTTGATGGCAACAGTGAAGCCGACACTTTTGTTATTGGATACCACGACACAATCATGTACAGCGACATATTCCCCAAGCCAGTGATACAGTTACCAGAATGAACTATGTGTAGACTTTAAAAGTATCATGACCCATACTCGCTTTATCAACAAAGCGGAAACAAAGTCATGGAAGGTTCGCCACCACACATGGTCAACACTTCATGGTGTGGCTGGGGACACTGACCACCTTCATCAGCCCAGATGATGCCTGACAGCAAACTGCGTCGCCACTGATGCCTCACGTCTACAGGAGGCCCCAGTCTAAACTGGTTCGAATCTATTCATGCATACGAAAAATGCATTTATCAAACCCACATCTACCTGCCTCAAGGTGTACAACCTAGTTTCACTTCTGGTTTCAAATTTTGAAGTATCCAGGAACTAAACGCATCCAGCACTATCAAGACCGGATAATAAGTTCCGCACGTGCCCGGATTTAAACGATCCATTATAATTTTTTTTTTTTTTTTTTTAAGTTAAAATTTAAAACTGCTTGGACTCTATAGCTTTGCTTGACACTGTGTACACTTGGATTTTTACTAAACATTTAATTCAATGCTTTAATTATAAGTTGCACATCAAAGGTATCTTGTGGGAGTAGCATGTGAACCTTGGGTTCAGTTATAAAAAAAGAAACTAAGATGAACTTTTATTTACAAATTTTTGTATACTCTTTTTAGCTAAGACTTAAGTATATTGATGGCTACAAGTTTTATTACTTAAAAATATCAAATATTATTTTGCTCTAGATGCTAAAATAATATTAAGGTCTGTTTAAAACCATGAATTTTGTTAAGAGTTAATTTTTTTTCCATATTGCAAGTGTGGGTTGCTGTTAAATTTATTCCATATATTGCAACATTTTAGGTTTAAAAATCATGTATTACTAATTGCATTGTGTATGTCTCATCCTATTTTGTAGCTGCTAATTATTTTTATCATGTTTATTTACAATAAAATTTGTAATGAAAAAAATCTGCTTCTTTTGTTGTGATTCAGATTTGTTGTTTGAGTGTTAGATCTATAATTTCAATGGCAAATAATTTACCTGAGGTAAAGAAGCTTCAATGTGGCGTTACAATAAAAAAATAATCGACTAAAGCAGTTACGTCTCGTCTGCTCTGTACCATATCTGGCTTATTATAAATAAAGCAATTGATACAAATTAATGTGTTTCAATTTAGAATATAGCGTAATTGGGCATAGCAAATGCTTTCATAAAAATGAATTCATCCATTTATCAAAAGAACACATTTTAAAAACAAATGCGACACATCTACTGTGTCAGACAGTATTTGTACGTTTTAGTTTTGGACAAAGACATTTTATTTTTTAAAATAATTTCTTGTCGAACTTGGCCCTTCTTATACAAGGGAGGTAACTGAGAAATATATATGGAATACTAAGCAATCAAGTATCTGCCCTTGTTTTGCTGAAGCTTTCAATTGAGACAAGTATATAAAGATAAAAAAAAATCTTGCTAAATAAGAGGACTCTGTTAAATAAAAAAAAATCACTAAAACGAAAACTTCTAGTATTTATAAATAAACAAGAAACGGAAACTGTCATAATTTTAATTTTAAGTTATTTAATTTTTTAATTTTAAGTTATTTAATTTTTTAATTTAAGTTATACTGGTAGTAACTGTTGGGTTTGGTTAAAAAAAAAGTCGCACACTTTAACACAGACAGTCTGCAAAAATTAAACAATGCAAAACCATACAATTAAAAAAACTTTAATTTTCAATTCCAAAGAAACAAATATTATAACAAACATCAACAGAAAGAAAAACATAATTATGTCAAAAATAGTTCTTAAGGTAATTATGTTTTTAAAAATGTGGGCTAATTAACATTAAACTTGAATAATATATTAAAGGCACTCTTGCTTTTAAAAAGTTTCATTTTAAGCCAATAAGAAAGAGAAAATGTAAACTGGTATTAAAATGTTGCTTATAAAAACTAGACTAGTAGAGATTAAGAAACAACAATCCCTATATTATATAACAGTGACACTATACACAACACAAAAAGAATGTACAAATCACATTTGCTAGTGAGCTTTAAGACCCAATGTCTTTCATGAGCAAATATAATTACTTCGTGCGTCGATTATAAAAATTTAATGACACAAAAAAATTTGTTGAAGAGATATTAAAGGGACATAACTACAATTGAAACTTTAAAATTCCAATGTAAGGGAGGCAATAAAAGAAAAAGGAAATTTATCAACAATTATCCCAGTTACTGCCCATGATAAATTTATATTGAGATGGTGCAACGGTTTAGTTGTTTTTGTTGCTCCAAATTTGATTTAAGAGCCTAGAAATTTACAATATAAAGAATAGAAATTATAATTATATATAATCAATTAGTCAGAGGCAAACCTATTAAAGTATTAATCAAAGCGCTGGTTCTTAACCTTCTGGAGGTACCAAACTCCACCAGTTTGATGTTCACTAACTAAACCCCTTTTCTCTATGATCGAAACTAACCAAATCAGATTGAGAATCATGAGTCATGTGTGTGACTTGAGCTCCAACAAAACCCTGATACTGACTCACCAGATTCCCAACAGGTTGGGAACCACTGAGTTATAGCAAACCGTCTATCATGTCTATCAAACCGTCCTCATGTTTAGCCTGTGTGTGCTAACAGTGTTTCTTACAGACCCTTTTCTCCGGGGGGGGGGGGGGGGGGGGGGGGGGGCCGCAGACGGACACTGTCAAAAGTATATATTTTCTATATAAATTCCATTTCGTTCGGGAGGGGGGGGGGTAGACTTTCTTTAGGGGGGACCCCGAAGTGATGCCTGGAAGAAACTCTGTATGCTAACATTAAAAATCTAAGTTATTAAGTAAAATAGTTCTGAAAATAGTAATCAATCCTATGTATACTTTTGTTATATACTGTCAATTAAAAGTAGCATAATTCATCACAAACCTTATATAAATAATAGCATAACTAATCTGAACATGATTAATTTTAAAAATTGTTAATAACAGAAAATTATTGGCAAAGGTATCACTCCAATCGCCTAGAGCATGTATTACTTGACTTAAAACATGACTGGATGTGAATGTTGAAGATGGAAGCAGAGCAATAGCTAGGTTGCAAGTAAATATACATTTGAGCATAAATTCATATAATAGTTTGCCGAGATGCCAAATAAAACAGGTATGATTGTAAAAAGCATCACCGGCTTTAGAAAAATAAAAATAACTTCCCAACAGAAAAGGTACACACAAATTTTTGATGAGTAATCTGTAGAGAAAAAAAGTTTTGTGATTGATCAAACATTCAGACAAATTGTATTCAATGATCTTAACATTTAAAAAAACAAACATGCATTTTATTTGCTATTGTGGAAATTTTTTTTTAAGAAAAGAAATTGCAAAATAAATATCAAACTTATTTTAAGAGAAGAAATTAATTTAAAGAATAAAATTTTAATTACATTTAATTACATTGAAGAAGTGGCTTATATCAAGTCTGGAACAAGTTTTTGAAAGAACGCAAATTACAAAAATTCAAAGGTTTAATAATTAATTGTAATATACAAACTCGAGAGTGGAATTATAAAGTACTTACATAGTAAATACATCCAAATTTTTGTAAAATATTTATTTTACATCTTCTGCCCAGCATACAACACAGAAAAATCTCCAGAAAAAAATTTAACATGATTTTAAATAAAACAACCAGCTGAATAGTTTGATTTATGATTATGGTTCTCCCTTTACTAACCCAAATTTTAAATTCTTGTAGCATTTATGTACAGTTTAAAGTATTATTTCTTTGCTAGGCAAACCATTCAAAGAAACATTTCCCAGTAAAGAAATGTTTTCTCATAGAGGTAATAGCTTTATCTGAAGCTATGTTTATAGAAATAGCAAACACAGGGCACTAAAGAGATGATAAAATAACAGTACAAACTGAGCAAGCCAAATCTTTGGAATGCTTGAAACTCCATCAAATGAATTATTGTCACACTTTATCTGAATACACAAGAGATTTTCAATCCTACCTCAAGATTTAAAAAAAAAATAGAAATAAAAAGATTTAAGAAAATAAAAATATTTACAATATATAAGTCTGTAAAATTGCTAAAAATGATCACAAATACAGACTTTAAAAGATCCAAGATAATCCCCCTGAGAGAGAAAACCATTTCTACATAGACAACGGACAGCTTTTTTTTTTTTTTTACAATAAAAGTTAAATGTAAATAATGACTCCTCTAACCTTAAACAAACATCACTAAAATATATTAAGCTTTTTAGTGAAAATCATACTTTTGCATCCAGTCCATGTTTTTAAGTTTAAGAAAACTATAATAGGCTCAAAAAGCTGGTTTCAAATGGTTGTTGCCAGAAAGCATATTTTTTCAACAACAATTGAATATTTTTATAACATTTGAGAAATAAGTAGGCTACAAAATGACTTCCAATTTTATTAAGTCTTGAAATGTTTAAACTAGCAATATAATTGTAATTTAGCTAACGCTTTTATTTTTAGTTTGGATTAGTAGAGTCAGGGTGTTGTGGTGATAAGGGGATGTTATATTATTTAATATAAATAAACTACTATGCTATGCCCCATTGACTGCTATTATGTATTTTATCGTGGAAAACAATTGTTGTGACTGTCATGGAGGGGTTAAGGGTGGTTTTAAAAAAAATATTTGAATTGATAAAATAATTCAAATGGCTTTTCAATGACTTATATTCAATTAAAAAATATGAAAATGAGTGTAATTGATGGTTCCCAAACAGCTTTAATTTTGTAAAATGTAGCCATAATTTTATCGCATGCCATATTTTTTTTAAAGATAAAAAAAAAAAAAAAAATAGTATGATTACATAGACTTTTCAAGCCTATTGAATCCTAAAATATCAATGAACTGGCTCAATACTTGTTACAATAATATCAATAGTTTCTCTATTATCATATTGGATAGTTTAAATAAAAATTTAGTTTTAAACCAAAAGAATCTCATTTTGAGTGATCTTTGTATGCTGGAATTGCTTATCATACGTGAAGTCTTTTACATAAATAAATCCCCAGTTAAATAAAATATTTTGACAATATCAATATAAATAATAAACATTACATTATAACAAGGAATTTTGTTTTTAAATAAGTCAGGTATGTATGGCAAGAGAGAAGGTCATGGAGTAATTTATTCATAAATACCAACACATATAACTGCACCTACACAGTCCTCTCCAAGAGTACATATAAAATTTCAATGTTCTTAGTAAGGAGATCAGGGGTCAGAACTCATCTTTCATGGTTAGCTAACTAAACTTTAATTTGTCTTTTGTGAAGAGGGATGGTGTGGTCGAATGGTAGAGCTTCCAATGAAAGTCTCAAGTTCAGTGAAACAAAGACTGCAAAGCATAGTTCTGACTATACAATTATATTCCTAGGTCAACTGAAATAGATGAACTCTTGGCTTAAATGGGAAAAGATGAGGATTACAAAGAAAAGTGTTGGGTAAAAATCACTATGGTACACATTCCATCAAATATTGAGGGGGTTAGGATGGGTGTGGTTTATCCTTGTGTTGTATGGGGTAGGGGTGGGATAGAATGAATGAAGATATTTGTGTATTTCTCTTTTAAATTATGTGATTCCCATTTTGTATTAGGAATTATCTCAAAGCATTTCGTATTATGCTTTGGGGGGGGAGGTGACACTACAGAGCCTGGTAGTGTTCTATTATAAGAGGGGTGTTGGTACTTCATATGGTGTAGAAGGATTGGGGGTCGATAGAGCATACCCTATTATTGTACCCTATTATTGTATTACATATAGACATGATGCAATACCACAAGATCATACTAAATAACTTAAATAATTATTAAAATGTAAGTTTTTTTTGCTTTTAAATAGTGGAAACAAAATCACATTTTGCTTTCATTGAACAAAAATTTCAATATTGCACAGGTAAAAAATTTCACATATTAATTAACCAATCAAATTAAACCGTCATTTATTCCACAGCAACCGAAACCGCCATCGAAGATTTTTCACTCTCCATCCCAACTGAGATCCCGCTGTCTGTTCCATTGCGTTCCTTGTGTTTCTGCTTCTTGCGCAGGAACCTGCTGGTCTGCACGGTGGTTACAACAGAGGACGGCCGTGATTGAGCAAGGCTTGATCTGCCGCTGGAGTTGCTGTTGCTGAGGAGCAGCTTAGAGTCAGGGTTTTGTTCGTTGGCAGTCTGCTGGTTCTCGTGAATTTTTTCAGCTTCTGTAGCGAAGGGTTCTTCTTGACCATGAGCATAAACATATGCTACAAAATAAAATAAAATAAAATTATATATATATATATATATATATATATATATATATATATATATATATATATATATATATATATATAGATGGATAGATAGATAGATAGATAGATAGATAGATAGATAGATAGATAGATAGATAGATAGATAGATAGATAGATATATAGATAGATAGATAGATAGATAGAGTTAAATGACAAGATAACAACAGCAACTTTAAGTTATTTTCAGTATGGTGGTATTTCCAATTAAATTATCTATAACAAGCAGATTGTTAATGCATGGTTATCTATTCATTTTAAAACTGTTAGATCTAGATGAATCAAGAATTAGCATATGTACTGTTCACGAAAGAGAAAATCTTTTTTTCCATTTTATGTGCTGAATTTGTGGAAGAATTAATGTTGTTAAATATGACAAAACAATTAAAGTTCCCTTTTTTGAAGTATTTAGTATCTAAAATAATATTTTAGTTTTACGAATTATTAATTCACTAAAATGTTTTGATCTCTGATTTATTAAAAAGTTCCTTATTGCAGCTTTCAAGATTGCCAAGAAAAATTACCGGCAAAAGTGGAAAGAGCTTTCTGCTGCCCTATTTGTCTAGGGCACAAAAGGAAAAGATGATGAATTGCAGCGCTCACCGCAATTATTCCTTAAAAATTTTACTTAATTATCATCACAAGATGTTTTAGAAAAAAAAAAGATGACGATTACCCTTACTTTCAAATGATTTTCTAGCAGGCTTTTTAGGAAAATTAAACAACTTTAAGTTAGATAATCGGATCTGTAAATAAAAAAAATAATTTATTTCATTAATTTTTGTCAGGTAGCCTAGCACTTAGCAACAAAAAAATCTCTAAATTTAAAAAAAAAGCAACAAAAAACAATCTCTACATTAAAAAAAAAAAAGCTATTTAACTTAAAATTTATCAAAACTAAAATGTAAAAAGGATCTTCCTTTAAAAATGAAAGCAGTAAATTTAAAAAAAAAAGGGTAGCCTAGACATTAATAGCATCTATCCACAAGACTGATAAATGATCATAAAGATCTCTTTAGACAATTGCAACTTAACCCTGTCTTCAGACTTCAGATGTGTTGTATATATTAAAAATTATAAAAATAGAACAAGTTTTATAAAAATAATTAACTATTATTAACTCTAACTAAGGAGTTCACCATTCCTTTTAAAAATAAATAATCTAAAAATGCAGCATGTATTTGGTTTGAGCAATATAAAATAACTTACTGTTTTCTTTAACAAAACCATGAAAAGAACAATGGCAAGAATCTGAAAGAAAAAAATAGCCACATATATCAATATAGTAAAAATTGTGCCTAGGTATAAAAATAAATTAACATCATTTGCAGTAAAAAATATTCAGAAAAAAAAACTAAGTTCATAAAGTATAATTTAGAGGGTTATAGGTAAAAATAGCAGAGGAAGTAGAGATTGCCTGGCCAGTGGTCTACAACTGCCACTAACCTTGACCTATTCTATCTAGACCTAGTAGGTCTGTACTTAGAGTTGGTTAGATTCTTATTTTTTAGCTGACTATATTGGCTAATATGACCTCATATCCCATTAACCCTGAACCAAAAATGTGTAGAAATACTAACCCAGACTTAAAATTTACAGTTAAATTTACATAACACAAATATCTATTTCTTATAATAAATAATAATAACAATATATAATTTCTTATAAGAATGTATTTTTGAGTTCTTTAACTAAAAGATAGTTTAACAATGGGAACCCTACCACATCATAACAAGCCTCTATAAAAATCACTTACCATCATTATGTTGAAAAAGAGAACAAAGGCTTGCCCTGAATTAGCACTGTTATCGTTGTAAAGTATTCCAGCAAGAAAATTGCAAATGAGCAGCGCCAGAAGAATTTCATTGCGTGTTAGCTCAAACCTGAAGGAATACAAAAACATGTTTGACATATCAAGATAGAGAAATGGGCGGGGCATAATTATTTGGACATAAGGCACTGTATGGCTGAAAAAGAAAATTAATTTGCATCTATTATCAAATGAAAAGAGAATGTTTGAACTCACACTGTTGTATTGAAATACATTTATTCTTATTTTAATTATGTAAATTGTTATGAAAATTAATCTTCTAAACATCATTTGCTAAACATTTTTTTTATTACAAAGGGAAACTACCAAATAATATTAGCTGCAATATCATCCTAGTTTGGTTATGTCCCCTGACAAAATTGAATTTAAAAAAATAGGTGTTGAGGGTTGAAATGGGCTAAGAAAAATGTGACGTCATCTTTTCCAGTTCGTGCCCAAGTCATGTGGGGCAGATGAAGTAGAGTTGATCTGTTTCAAATAACCTTGGCAAATAGGGGGATAGTGTGGTCAGCACTATAACCTGGGATGAACTCAGAGGCGTAGCCACCCTTCCCGGCGCCCGGGGACAAACTTTTGATTTGCACCCCCCTCAAACTTTCGATTTGCACCCCCTTCAACCTTTCAATTTATTTTTCCAACCCATTTTGGCGCGCCCTAAGGTCGGCGCCCAGGGACATGTGTCCGTCCCCCCCCCCCCCCCCCCCGCTACGCCTCTGGATGAAGTAGAACATGGACACATGCCTTGTAGAGAAACTTGAACTTACATGTACTTCCTTCTATCTCTGTAGCACCATTCATCTTTCCACTTGGCCAACATTAACACCCCATATGCAACACAAGCTATGTGGCCCTACAGGAAACAAAACAAATTTTTTTTATCTCACAATAAAGGAGAGTTGTAGATGTAAATAATGAAACATTTTTCATTGTTATGGAATGAAAATTGACTGTTCACTTTCTTGTTAATTTAAATATTAATAAGAAGTTGAGTTGTTATGTGTGTAATAAACTGTCCAAAAAAAAAATTGCCAAACAAAAATTCATTAGACAGACTACAGAATACATAAGCTTAAAGCATAGCAGAATAGAGGTCATTAAAATGTGCCAGTTTGGATGTCATTAATCATCAATAAGTCCTGCTTTTAGAGGTGTGATCACCTATGTAAAATAGAGAACTGAATTATTACCATAAAATATTACCATGGATGACTATTCTTAAATCTTTAACTGTTTTAACTATTTTCTTATTTTGTTTATTTTCACATTTGCGAATTGCACCCCCCCCCCCCCCTTCATGTAGTTGTTAAACAGATTTTTCTTTATGGTAAAAAAACTGAACATAATTAACATAATAAAGATTGTAAAAATTGTCTAATAACTAACTGTAATTAACATAATTATTGAGATAAGGACACTGTAAAAATGGTCTGAGAACTAACTGTAATTAACATAACAACTGGAATAAAGAAAGTGTAAAAATGATCTAATAACTTACTGTAATTAACATAACAATTGGGATAAGGACACTGTAAAAATGGTGTTGAGATGGTGTCCACCAACACCTGAAATAAACATAATACAGAATAATTATTTAAAAAGAAATTTACATAATTAATATTAATTAATTAATGAAAGATCAATACAGTACTACAACTTAAAATATATGTACAAGTAGAGATTATTATTGTGGCTATAATGTAAGTTTGGATAGTTAGGAAATAAATTGAAATACCAAATGCTGCAGGTTTTTTCATATCCAACTATCTCCAACATGATAACAACACAGAGAACAGTTATAGCTGGTAGAACTGTAAATAAAAGGGAGGCAATCAAAATATAATTCTCAACTTGCTAAAGGGAGATTAATTTATTAAATTTTAACTAATAGTATAGAGAAAAATATTATTAACAAAAATTATTATTTAGAAATGTAACATTAATCACAATGTTTACTGGCAAAAATAAATTATGGGGTATCTAAAGTATTTTAAATGATAGTAACTTCTTCTATGACACTTGACAAAGGGAAAGAAAAATCAGAACAGTTTGTTAATTTGTAATAGGCCAATCAATAATTTTGAAAGATTTATTTTAAAAAATTAAAGCAAAATTGAACAGATAATATAAACAAAATAATAAACAAAAGAAAAATATTTGCCTTCAGACTTAAAAACACCTAAGACTTCTAGTGCTTTAGTATATGCCTACATCAGGTAAAAATCAAATCTTAAAATGATAAACATATAAAAAAACAACTAACCCCAGCCAAAGAAAACAAATTTATCCATCCTCTTCATGAACTGTGAATGAGTTTGAGCATGGATGTCCGTGATGATTTGGATAACATCAAGCACAAGGAATGTAAAGCCAGAGAGGGTAAAAAACTGCAACAATAATCTTCCTGCTGTGCATATTGACTGAAAGATTTTAAAATATATTTAAATAATTGATTGAAAAAACTAGCAACAATCTTCCAACTGTGCCTGAAATTTAAAAAAAAAAATTTAAATGTATGATTGAAAAAAAATGTAATAACAATCTTCCAACTGTGGATATAGACTGAAAGTTTTAAAAATATATTTACATATTTGATTGAAAAAATTAGCAAAAATCTTCCCACAGTGCACATAAACTGAAAGTTTTAGAATATTTTTTAACATATGATTAATTAAATACATTTTAAAAAAAAATCAACCAATTATTAAAATAGCATTTGGAAGTTTTTTTAGTGTCAAACAAACAGACTTCCATTATTAGGTAACATTAAAGTATATTTATTTTCTAAGGGCTATTTAAAAATCGATTGTTTTGAATCCTATTTGAAGGTTGAGTAAATTACACTGAACAACCACTGAACATTATAGTTCCCACAGAAAATATCCCAAGGCACTTGTTGGTTATACAAATGAGCTAATGCCAAATCAATACAGTTTTATCTGTTCCATATCTAGAATGCTTTCCTTGATACCAAAGTCATCCTTGTAATATAATATACGCTACTATTGATTATGAAGTGGTAAGTTTAAAACTTTGATCAAGAACCCCGAAAGTAAAAAAAAAAAATACAAACCTCTTTTGTGCTGCCAGCTAGACATAAAAGGCAAATCAAATTGAGGCCCAAAATGGACAAAATGAAATGTATATGAATGTAATTTTTCTCTTCATAGAAGAACCTGTAGATAAATATAATACTATATAATATGCGCTGATAATACAGCATAAAAACTTAGCAAGTTTTAAAAAATAGTTTTACAAATATTATTTCAACGTATTGTAAAAATTTAATTTGTTATTAAAATATACAAGTTTCATCTGATTAATTCTAAACTAATGAAAAATATATTAAGACAAGCAGTAAAGATTAACAACTTTTATTTAGTATGAAAAAGAAATCTAAATAATAACTAATCTACTTAAACTGTGTTGTGTCCCCCCCCCCCCCCCCCAATTAAAAAGGAAACAATTCATTAAAATATAGACTCTAGGTGTAATTCAACCAGTTACCCGGAATTAGAAGAAATAGTATTTCCCACTATAAAAAGTGTCCGGGTGTGATCCACCGTTTCCCGGGGACAGGGTACCAAATATGTTGCCGGGGAGGGTGTCAAAAGGTCATTTACCTCCAAGAACAGGCATATGTGAAAGACACCAGAACCATGGCTATCACAGACATGACACAAGCCACCAACAGGACCTGGTGGGCATCTTGGGCTGCTAAAGCATTATTCTGTTGGAATAGGAAAAATATGAAACAATTTGTATAGAGCAAAATAAAATAGTTAATGAGACATAAATGTTAGGCTGAATTTTGCTACTACCTTTATAAATTTTAAAAGTTCTGAATATTGTCAGAACCTTAAAATATTTCCATTAATATGCATTTTTTAACTTATGTAGTTGCAAGAAATTGTATGTCTTTGATTTAACAATGAATGACTCTTTTCTTTCACCCTCCTGAATGTAAACTGGCTCTATGACTCATGTAAATAAAAGTTTTTAACTCACCTGAATGTAGACTGGTTCTCTGACCACAGAAAATAAAAGTTTTTAACTCACCTGAATGTAGACTGGTTCTCTGACCCATGTCAATAAAAGTTTTTCACCCACCTGAATGTAAACTTGCTCTATGACCCATGTAAATAAAAGCTTTTAACTCACCTGAATGTAAATTGGCTGTCTGACCACAGTAAATAAAAGCTTTTAACTCACCTGAATGTAAACTGGCTCTATGACCCATGTAAATAAAAGCTTTTAACTCACCTGAATGTAAACTGGCTCTATGACCACTGTAAAATGGCCAGGTAATCGACACAGACAATGAGTCTGTGTGGACGAAGTGTTGAGCACTGTACAGGATGTTTTTACCCAGGACCCATGGGGCAGTTCACTGTAGATAACAGCATATTATAGTTGAAATAGTTTAAATTTTTTTAAACCAAATGAGGTATATGAACTAAATTAGTAACACAATAATTGAAATTTCTACCTGAAGATTACAGAATAAGAGACAACAAAAGAAATTCTGACAGAAATTTTCAATGAATTGCTGGTATATTTCCTGAATTAGCACATATTTTGTGTGTCTAATATAATGAAAAATTAAGGTAGAAAAAGCAATTATTTCTGCTTATTTTAAATCAAATTTTTTAAGTTTTAAAAAATTATCCACATATAAATTTAAAGTCATTATTATATTATTGGAAGAAAATCAAGCCTATAAAAGAACTAATAAATAATTTGTGTTATTTAAGAAAATGAAATACTTCTAAATCAGTGTCTTGACATGAAATAAAAAAACACAAAAGTAGGTTGAAATTTAATGGCGCTACTTATTTAGGTAAATTATACAGCTTGATTGAGTTAAGATACAAGGCCTCACTGTTTTCAACCAGCTGACAGATACTCTAAGGATATAGCTGGATAAAAAAGGTCCTGGAGTTTTTTTTAATACTTTTATTTTCAATGAAAAAAATTACATCAACATTTGTGTGTGTATGCCAAAGTGAACATTCTTATATAAAAAAATAAACACATGATGGGAACTCGGGATATAGACATGAATTTTAATCCATTTTAAATACTTTAACTTTTCAAAATAGAATTAAATCTCGTAGAAAAAAGAATTGCACATCAGTGAATGCCAAATAAAATGTGCATAATAGTGCGGAATATTATTAGTACTTTATAAATTTACATTAGCTTTTTTGAGAAATCGGAAATAGCGTAAATTAGTACTTCCGGTCAACGGAAATTACTCAAAATTTTAAAGAAGGTAGAGAATTAGATCTTTTACTTGCATATTTTTAGTACTTAATAAATTTACAATCGCTTTTTTGAGAAATCGGAAATAGCGTAAATTAGTACTTCCGGTCAATGGAAATTACTCAAAATTTTAAAGAAGGTAGAGAATTAGATCTTTTACTTGCATGTGAAATCTCATTTATCTATCTGAAATAGTACTCAAGTTATAGGCTTTTGGTCAATTCTAAGTTAAAAAAAGTACCACTTACGGTTATCGGAAATCGCTCAAAAGTTGATACGGATCTATGATTTTGATAAAATACTTATATATGAAATTTCATCAACCTAGCTGTAATGATACTCAAGTTATCGTGTTTACAGACACACAGACACATACACACAGACATAATTGCAAAGTCCAGTTTTCTGTAACTCATAAAACGCCAAAAAGTTTATGTATTTGTATTTCGGATGTCGACAAAATGAGGTGTAAAACGGTGAAAACTCAAAATTCATGATATTGTTGTGCGTAATTACATGACACACGAGAAAGTAAAATTCTTGTTTTACATGTACCAGATGAGCAATTGTTAGGACGAACATTCACAAGTCTACAAATTGACTATTTAAGAAAGCTAATAGTTTTCTATTTAAATCAGAGCCAAATCATAATTCCACAATTTATGGAATATAAAGTTGAGACAGAAATCTCATACAATTTTTAAATTCTTCTGTTTTGATAATAATAAACAATGACATTTAATTTTATTCTCTTTTTATTGAATTTATCTGTAATTTAAATAACTTTAGGATCACGATTATAGGTTGTGTCCCTTGTAAACTTTTGATATATTAAAATGGGAAGTAACCTAATTTAATAATCGATGTCAACATTTAAAATACTAAACATTATATCTTAACTTTGAAAGCAATGTAATTATAGGCCCATACATATCATATATAATAGTGAATACTACGATTCGGTACATATATATTTACTTTTGGTTAAATATCTACTTTTGGTTGAATAATTTCAACAGGCTAGTGTGCTTCCCAGTTAGCAAAAACCGCTTCTTTAAATATACACAGATTATTTTAAAGTAACTTACGCAACAGCTCTTTCCCAGGAATAACAAATTGTTGAATTCAAAGGTGCATCCTGTTTTACATATGTAATCACACTTTAAACAAGACAAGGCAAAGAAAGATAACTCATAGTGCATTTAAGTTCAAAATATATTTTAAAAAAAAACAGATTATAGTCCTATGAAAACTTATTAAAAATTAATAATAATCTATAAGTTATTTAAGGCCAATGCAGGCTATTTGTATGAAGTACCTTTTGTAGCTCATGAGGAATGGTGATGTTGACATATTTAGAGCCTTCGGATAATGGTAGGTATGAGAAAACATTGGAAACGAACACCAAGTCTTCACTGAAAAAAAAACCCAGGAATTTGGATACAAAGGTAAAAAGGTAGGTAAGTTGAAAACATGATTTCAGGCCTGAGTCAGTGAAATAAAGTGGTATGGGGATGGGGGCATAGGCACTTTGACCTCTTCTCTCCCCATTGGCACAATTTGGCACAAAACATCAAACATATAAATATTTTGTTTTTATCAAACAGTGATTTAAAAAAAAAAAAAATTAAATGAAATGTATCAAAACAAGACATCTTGATCTTTTTAAAAAAAAGTATAATTTGCATAAAATATATTTTTAAATATGAGATATGTCCTACTGAAATTAAGTTTAAAAAATTAATGTTAAACGTTTAAAGTGTGACATTGCAATTTTTAAGTGTCCCTACAACCACGCCACCCCCCACCCTACTTAAGTCCAAACCCCCATCCACTAGGCTTATAACATCAATTATGGATCACCCCTAACTGATAATGAAGATTTATATAATTATTTTGGTTACAACCCATTACCAACTCATTGTCACTTCAGTTTTAAAAGTTGAAAAAAATTTAGCAATTTGACTTACATTTTCCTGTCTGCTTTACTTAACAGAGGCAACAAAGCTTGGTTAAACTCAACAACCATGGTCTGTGTAGATGAATCACTAGGGTCATCTTGAAAAAATTATAAAATTATTTTTTAAAAATAATTCTAGAGTAACAATTTCTTTTTTCCCTTTTTAAAAAAAAAAAAAATTAAAATTTCATAAATACATTAATAGTACATTATTTCAAAATCATACAAATATTGGGTTGTAATGGCAGTTGTTTGGTTGGGAGAAAATTTTATAATTAAGCAGGCCCTAGTTTAAGCACTAACATCTACAATTAAGCCTACAAGGAGTGCTATAAAATTTTTTTTTTTTTTTTCTTTCCATAATCTGTTTTGCTGCTCAATTTTATTTTTAAATGTACAGTAACAATAGAAGTAATAAAAAACAGAATCAAATAAAACATCAAATAAATACATTAAAAATAATTAGAAGTTTGGTAAACATTTGGTTAGTCTGCTCTCAAAATATAAATTCTTAAAACGGAATGTAAAAGTTAAAAGTGAAATATAAGCTTTAAGTATCTCATACATCAACATTTAAAAGAGATAATTAAAAAAATTATTTAGAATATTGCTTTACCTACCATCTGAAAGTGATCTTTTAATTTTACGCTGGGTAGGAATACCATTTTTTGAATACTCAAAGAACTTTGTGCCTGGGTCCAAGTGTACAAGTTTCAAATCTAAAAAACAAATTCCATATTCAGCTTGCAGGGTAATGGGAAATATTTTAGTACTGGAACAAGTAATAATTAATTAAATAATTATAAATAAAATGCTGGGTGTAATTGAATAAATAACGTCATGCTTTTCTTGTGACAAATTTACCCCCCTTCTAAAATGACAAAAATTTAGAACCCACCTAAAATGACATCGAATAAAGCCTACCCCCACCTCCCCATATTTTGATTGATTTTTTTAACTTGATTCATTTTTTTCAGAAATATTAATGAGCAAGGTACCAGTTCAACAAGGTTAAAATCTAAAAATAAAAAATTGTAAGAAAAACGGGTAAGCAGAAAAAGAAGTACAAGCACAACCTTCTTACCAATCAAATTTGTCTTTACTTCTGTAGGATCAGTCAAGTTTAACCTGATTAAGTCACTTAAAAGTTCAAAAATTTGAATCATGTGTCCACCAATCATAACATCCTAGGGATTAGGAAAACAAACGCTCAGAAATTATAAAACTTTTAAACACAGATAAGGTTCCAAAATTCTAGGCTTAATGTTTACTCTAAGTGAACTATTTTAAAAGAACGATAATGTTCAAAACTTTAAGGCTTAATGTACTTTACAGTGATCTTTTATGCTTTTTAAAAATAAAGTTCAATATTATGCAATATAAATACTAAAAATATGTGTTTTTAAAACAAAGTACCCTTTTTTCATCAATAGTTAAATGTACAGTCTCTTCAAGGATAGTGTTGACAAAGTCCAACAACTCCTGTGATAAGAATTGAATTAAAAGATCTAAACACATCAATTTGATAAATGAAAAAAATTTACAAGGTAAATGTTTACATTTGTTAATATTCAACATAACATTTCTGCCATTACCAATGCAATGGTGTATATGTATTGAAATGATTACTATTCTGTCATGTATTTTAAAATGGAAAATGTTTACATTTGTTAATATTTGACATACTATCTCTGTCCTTGTTAATGCAATGGTGTATTTGTATCTAAATAATTACTAATCTGTCATGTTTTTTTTTAAATATATAAATTTGCCTGCTCATAATATTTAGCATAAATGTAATTTTTTTTTAGGAGCCAGAAAAAAAATCTTACAGTCAAATTAAACATGGTGTTTAAAAATGGAGGGTAATCTCTAGCAGTTTTAAGCGCCATTCTCAAATTTTTTGTAGAAATTTCCAAATCTCCTGCAAACATATTTGACCTTGCCTGCTGGATTATTTCATACAGCTCTTGGTAAAGCTCGTACAGGGGTTTCACTTGGTAGCCTAGTTGTATTTTCATCAACTAGAATAGTAAACAAAAAATAATTTTTTGAGGCAACATCTAGAAAAATAAATACGTAATGGAGGTAATTTTTGTAGTAATGTAGAAATGTAGACTTTTATCAACAAGAAAAAATTGTAAAATTATTTGTAAAATGAATCATTGTCTATATTTTAACAAGATAATTATTAAATTCTCATCAATTTAATTTTATTATTTTGTAATATTAAAGAATAAATGAACCTCATTACTAAATGTGCTATTTTTACGTTTTCTTTTCTTTACATGGGACATCTTTCATTAAAAATGTTAAAGATACTAAGAATTGGCAGAGGGTTTAACATTTTGGTGGGGCTCATCTAGAAAAGAACCCCCAAACCTACCATATCAAACACATGTATCAGATAAACAGACCGAAAAGAACCCCCAAACCTACCATATCAAACACATGTATCAGATAAACAGACTGAAAAGAACCCCCAAACCTACCATATCAAACACATGTATCAGATAAACAGACTGAAAAGAACCCCCAAACCTACCATATCAAACACATGTATCAGATAAACAGACTGGCATTTGGAAAAGTTGGGGACTCCCCACGTACACACTGAGTTCTGACACACACAGTTCCTTCTCGCTGTTCCTAAAACATTTGAACATAAAAACTATGCATGAGTTTCAAGCAGTCAAATTTAAATTTAATATTCAAAATGTACTTACGATTTGCAACAAAACATTCAATTAAGTTTAGTATAACTATTTAATTCAAATGATAGAGCATAGTAGTTTTTAATAATTTTAATAATTATAACTGAAATACCTCATTCCATTGGCAAATAGATGTTTAAAAGCTACACAAAATGTTTTTAAAAAGTAAAAAGTTACATTGCAGTGTTGCAGGTTACATATGCATGTTAAATATTTAAGAAATTTGATTTTTTTTTTAATTTAAAGAACATGAATTATTATGTTAAATAAAAGTTTATGTTCTGCATCTAAAGATTATATAATTATAAAGGATTGGAATTATTATAGTTTTGCATACAATACTGATGTTATACATAGTATACACATATAAACATATATATATATATATATATATATATATATATATATATATATATATATATATATATATATATATATACATATTGCATACAAAAAATAAACAATAATACTGATTTTTAAAAGTTTCATGGATATAAATCTAAAGTTATATATATATATATATATATATATATATATATATATATATATATATATATATATATATATATATATATATATATATATATATATATATATATATATAATCTACAAAACAGTAGAATAATATTTATTTAAGTTGTAAGCAAATAGCTGCAAATGAGTGAAAATATTTTCCCTGTTTAAGCATAAAAAGCTGAAATAAAATTTAAAATTTCCCTAGCTTTCTTGAAAATAAAATGTATTGTCCCCTACAATTAAAGACAATGATATAGTTACAAAGTTACAATTGACAATGAAATTATGCAGGTTTTTGTTTTTGCCTAATGATAAAGCTTCGCAAATCATTTGTAAAAGAAAAAATAGGCCTAGCACTACATTAATTATTAATTAATTATTTGAAATAATTCAATTGCAAATGTAAACAAACTTAAACACAAAATAAATGGAAATATGTTTAATTATTTAATTTATTTATAGTTTTAAATATTTTATGAAAAATAGATGTATGTAGATCTAGTTGAATAAGTATATTAAATGATGACAAGAGATGAAATGATAAGCACGTATTGTGTAGGATTTAGGTGATGATTTACAACAGTGAATATAATAACTCATTTAACTGTAATAAGCATCTGAATGAAGCACCACTGTAAGGCCGATAAACGTCACTCACACGTAACAAACTTTACCAGGGTTAGGTGCCCACGATAGGGAAGAAAATGAGTGGAAACCAGATAAACTAAAACTAAAAGGGATCAAAATCCATTTTTGTTTGGCTCACCATGGTATGCATAGATTGTGATAACTTTAAATTTGGCTAGAGAAAAATGAAATAAACACAATAATCTATAGTTAGACGTCGAAATTTAGATATTATAGTCCAATGTTGAATACAATACAATGACTACTAGTCTACTTCTATTCAGTATTTTCTTGCATCTGCATAGATTCAACAGATCTTCAAACATTCATCAATTAAATTAATATGACAATAACTTTTTAACTATTTCAAAATCCGGAGATTTGTTTTTTTTTTCGTTTAAAAAACAAGTTAATAAAAAGTCTAGTGACAATTTAAGCGCAATTTCCTTATGTTATCTAAAAATAGATAGTGATCACAAAGACGTATAATGCTGGGGTGCGTTCAAGCTAGGAGAACGATCGGTTTGTAGGTGTTTATGTAATTTTAAATTTTTTTTGTGACCGAACGAAAGGATATTTTTGAAAACTTTCTTCGGCAATATTGTTCTAAATTATGGCAGGAATCGATTGGTAAATGTTTCAAGTCGCTAAGTGGTCTGGTTGCCGAGATATGGGCAAAAAAACTGAATTTTTTCGAGTTTTTTGGCTTTTCCGGGAAATCCAGGAAGGAATTCCGGGAATTTTTTTGGCCCACAATCAGCCTTGGAACTTGCTTAACATATTTGCTTTTGGAACTAGTCCTCGATATTGCTTCGTTGAGGAGGAGATACGACTTAAAGCTGCTAAAGCTGCGGACACACATCCACCCAGAAATGACGAGTTAATAATCACAATCCCAGTATGGACATTGCGCTAAAAAGTTACTGGTATAAACTTAACTTGCCAGCAAAATATTTTAAACTAGATTAGACAAAAATAGAAAATAATTTTTCAGCGTAGACCAAGAAATCTTATAGATCTAGAATCTAGTACACGATCGTAGTTAGTGGACAGTGGACAGGAATGTTGCTGTGTGGAATGAATAATAAATTAGGACCGTGGCTTCCTGTACCAACGTTAAAGTAAGGAAATGGAATATATTGCTTTCCCGACTAGACAGAGGCGGCGAAAAGACATACGTTATAGGATCAATTACTAATTCATGGAAAATACCCGTACAGGATATGATAAGGTCATTATATCAATCATAATAAAAGTACAACAGCATAAAGACTTTATAAATTAAGAGACAGTTACTATTTTTTAAAGCACTGTAACTGTCGTCCCAATATAAATACAAAATGCTAGTTTATGTAGTTTTTGGCAATGTCCGTTTAGTTATTAAGTAGGATACGTGTTCCCTTTATAATTTATATTAAGCTTATTAATATTATTTCCCTTAAAAGTTTAAACTCAGTTCTATTTAAAAGCTTACCACAGTTAAACAAAGGTGCATAACCTATTCATATTAGCCCTGCTTTTTACAAGTAAGCTCTAATATTTTCGACAATGTACTCATCATAAAAACTAGTAAACATTTACGAGCACAAATATAAATTTGCAAAATTTTGCAAAAAATCTGGCATTAAACTTGTGTTAACACATTTCGTTTTATTTTTTTATTTTAAAAAAAGCTAAATATGGAGAAAACATTAAGACCCGAAAAATATGTAATTCGACTAGATATAATACGCTCGCATGGAGACAAGCTTCTAATTCAAAAGCTGAGCAACATTTAGAGAACTAGTTCAAGCACATTATAAGCTCACGTAAATATATACATTGTTATATTTAGCACTTATAGATGAAACACAACAATTATTTCACACAAATCACAAATCGAAAGTAGCAATTTGAACGAAATTGTCTCCCTCTATATAATTCACACTTTAGACCTTACTTAATAATAATTTTAAAAAATTAGTGATCTTGATTAAAATATATATTTTTTATCATAAAAAGACATTTATTGTAATTTTTAAATTCTGCTTTAGTTTTATAATGTAAAGTATCCTTTATATTTAAAAAAGAAAAACTGATTTTGATTTTTTGAATCTTCCTTAACTAAAAAGTGAATTTTAATAAAAATTCTTAAAAATAACCCACAATAGTCAAATCCTTAATGGCCATAACAATTTAGTGCTAGAAAAAATGTTAGCTAGTTAAAAAAATTTAAAATAAAAAAGTGTGCAAGTGCTAATATGAAGGGTTATGTGCCATAAATTCTTAACTGGAAAACTGGGTTAATTAATAAGAACTTTTAAAGAAAACAAATATTGCATTTATAAGTATACGAAATTGCATCCTAAATACAAACCTTTAACTGAAAAAAGGCAAAAGAAAATAAATAAAAAATTATTTACTAAGAGAGATTAGACAGAAGATTAACACAAAGTTTCAATGAAACACATGTTAAAGCTATTACTCTCTATGTGTGATTAATTAAAATAAGTGTTTATCTAAGATCTCAAGTAATGAGTAAAGATATTATTGTGTGCTTTAACTTTTAATCTAGTTAACTATACTAACTAATAAGTATGTATGTTTTAAATAATATAGTGTATCAAATAATATTATAAATAATATGACAGATATTTTTAGCAACATAAAGGCCCCTGCATACATTTTATAAAAACACTACAGCACCTAGAGTTTCTAAGTTTAACACCTTAAAGCCTTAAATCTACTTTTTTAAAAAACCCATCCTGGCATTTTCAAAATGTGAATGTGTGTTAATTGCGTGTGAATGAAACTAACTACTAATATTAATTGTGTGTGAATAATAAATATAATGCATGTACACATTAATAAGTTATAAATACCCAATCCCAGATAGTATCTATGAAAAATATAATGCATGTAGGTGTAGATATTAGCTAGATCTAAAACCCCATCCCCCAGATAACAGTCACTATAAAATATACTAGTGGATTATATCTAAAAACCCATCCCCAGATTATATTCATTAATACTTTAAAAGCATGTAGTTCTACATATTAGTTTAAACAGAAAAAACCCAAATAATATTCACAAACAACTATATAATGCATGTAGGTCTAGATGTTATATTTAACAACCTATTCTCCAGATAAAGGCTACTAAGATACACAGTCCAAATGACATGCGCTACAGTAAGGACCAATTCAACACACCGGGCCATAGACAGAGGGTCTTTGGTGTATAGAGACAACATCATAGGCCGGAATACATGAACGAGTACGTGTATCTATCACATTGTAACTATGTAGTTCTATACATTATGTAAGTGTACATGTGTATATATGCTACATACATACTTATGTATATATATATATATATATATATATATATATATATATATATATATATATATATATATATATATATATATATACACATACGTATAGATATATACATATATATATAAATATATATATATATATATACATACGTATAGATATATACATATATATATATATATATATATATATATATATATATATATATATATATATATATATATATATATATATATATATATATATATATATATATATATATATATATATGTATGTATGGATATATACATATATATATCATATATCATATATATATATATATATATATATATATATATATATATATATATATATATATATATATATAGATCGATATATGTCACCTATCAAAATAAACATTGGTATTTTCTACTCCACCAAGCCTTGGTTTAACAGTGAGTTGGGAGTAAGTTACCCATGGATTAGAGCACCTAATGAACTACTCACCATCTCCAAGGGACCTGAGATTTACATCTGTAAAAAAAGAAAACGTTCAGACATATTCTCACACAGGTAACAACATTCGATGCGTTGGATGATCTTCATGGGCTGGTGTTGTTTATATTTTTTTGCTAAGTGTTAGTTGCATGTTTTTTGCATGTTGTTAGGCTTGTTGCTGTTGGCATGATTAGTCTTTAGAGATACAAAAAGTTACAATATCTAGGCTAAACAACATCGCGGATGAAATATAGTTAATTTTTGCAGAGTATAGAGTGGACAAGCTTAGCATCTTTGTACAAATGTATACTTAGATTTGATTATTTTTCTATTTAACAACAAGAATAATTTTCAATTACATAGAAAATGTATGTTTTAAACTTTGTTTTGAAAAGTTTTATTTTGGAAACTTAATCTTTTAATATTTTATGTCTCTTTTGTTGACATGGAATGTTTTAGTTGCCATTTTTATTATTTTAACGTCATTTTCTTTTCTTTTTTGTTGGTATATCAAAATGAAATGTAAACATTTAATATCGAGATCAAAATTTTTAATTTTAATTTAAAAATTTATAAAAATGTATTAACATTAATGAATATTAGGTGAGTGTACATATAAATCTAGTCTACCATTTTTTAAGGTTATTAAATGTTATTAATTAATAAGACAGTTTCTAAATTGATTAAAACTAAAAACTACACAATAATTAAATGCAAGATTACAATATAACAATGCATGACATAATATTTATTTTAAATAAATAATTAATTAGTAACTAAATTCTACAATATTTAACTCCACAACAATTTTATGCACTAATTTTTGTTAACGCCTACAAACAATACACATATTTTTTTTTCATTCCCTTTACTACCTGGCATGCATGGTCACAAAAGGAAAAAAAAACCTGGTCACTCGAGCGCCATCTTACCAAAGAATTCTTTAGGGCAGTCTTGTCTGTCGAAGGCTCCACCAAATGTTTGGTTCCATCTCACGTCTTTAAAATAATTGGCTGGGCAAACCGGCCCAGTTTTATTGGCTAGAGAATAATATTTTTTTTTTAAAAATAGCTCTAATAGGGTGTGGGGTCGTCCATAAATGACGTCATACTCATAGTGGCGAGGGGGGATCCGTAATTTTGTGAAGGTGTGTGATGAGGGGGGGGGGGGGGGGGGGGGTCTGATGGTCGGACGTCACACTTTTGCACTATAAAAAGGATTGTTAGAAAACGAATTTTAGCCGTTATTTCGCGTTTTGGAAAACTGTTTTAATAAATTGTAATAGAAATTGATTAAAATACTCTATGTTGAGAGAGTTTAGACAAGGTTCTGGAAAATGTCGATGTTTTAAGAAAAATTCAAATGCAATTTTGAGGGGTTGTAGGCTGAGGTGTGACGTCATTATAGGGGGGTGGTCTGGCTTTTTGTGACGCAGGGGAGGGGGGAGGTAAAAATCGTCAAAAAAAGCGTGACGTCATTTATGGATGACCCCTATAAAGTACTACAATATGGCGCCTACTGATTCATAAGATAGAAGGAGAAAACAGCAGACAAGTCGGGGTGGTAGACAATGGTGAAGCAGATCAAAGCCTTCATGCCCTATGGGTTGTAGAACTATAATGATGGATGGATAGATTGCTTTTAAGCGAAGTTAAAGTTTAAGAAATACTGAGCACGCCCCCCCCCCCCCCACTCTCCCGGACGAAATGGAACAGTATATAAAGTTTATAGAACATATAAAATGATATATACTTTAACCAGTGTCCGCCCCCACCCCCAGAAAGCTTAACTATGCACCCCCGTTTCAAGTACCCCCCTCCCCCTTTGGATAAAAATGTCCAAAAGAAGACCCTGAGACAAGGCTGTGGTCTCAAAAAAAGCGAGATGAAGGCAGAAATGAAAGTAATCAAAATATGTGGAAAAAGATTTGGGGAAAAGCCAAGACAAAAACAATATGAACAGATACGTGGATACATAAACTATTAATAGAAAAAACAACGAAACAGGAAGTAATATTGGATTACTCGCCCACATGACAACATTTACAGAGAAGAGTTAGATCAGAACTCACATTGCAATAGATTCACGAGAGGACCAAATTCGTGGATACCCTCACCCATATATACCGTAACCATGGATACATAAATCTCTACCCCCCCCCACCTGCTGTTTGGATATAAATTAATAATGGCACTTACGTTCCGCCACGAAGATGTACACGATCCGGCGCACGGTGCCGGCAGCGTTGGTGACCCGGCAGGTGTAGTTGATGCTGGCTTGGATGTTCTTCACGCTCAGCCGGCTGCCGATAGGGATCAGGTCCTGAGGGGGGAACCGTGAACAGGTCAAAGGTCATACACAGATTAACATGGAGGGGAGTTTAGGGATTGCTGTCTGCTTTCATGGATGTTTGTTTTACATGGTTGGTTTCCATAGAAACCATAAAAACTTCAGTACAAACTTACCTGGATGGTTTCCATGGATACCATAACAACTTCAGTACAAATTTAACCTGAATGGTTTCCATAGTAACCATAACAACTTCAGTACAAACTTACCTGACTGGTTTCCATAGAAACCACGACCGCGTCAGTACAGACTTACCTCAATGGTTTCCATGGACACCATAATAACTTCAATACAGACTTACCTGACTGGTTTCCATAGAAACCACGACCGCGTCAGTACAGACTTACCTCAATGGTTTCCATGGACACCATAATAACTTCAATACAGACTTACCTGACTGGTTTCCATAGAAACCACGACCGCGTCAGTACAGACTTACCTCAATGGTTTCCGTCTCCGACTCTGTAATCACCTGATCGTTCTTGAGCCAGGTGTACGTGGATGTACGTTTCCTGTCTGTAGTCGACACACACCTGTACAAGTAAAGTGTACACAAAGTTGATTTTTAGGCATGCGTACGCATTGGTCATGGGACAGTGTTGTCATGCACTCCCTACACACCTAGTGTTACTAAGGTACTTATTAGAGCTGAGTCGACTCGTATTGGTCCTGGAACTGTGTTGTTGTGACACCTCCCCCCCCCCTTCACACCCCTAGTGTTACTAAGGTATTTATTACAGCTGAGTTGGCTCGAGTAATTCTTACACACTGAGTTCAAAGATTTTCTATTCATAGAATCAAACTCAATATAAAAAAGTGCCGTTTACCACTGCACCGTATTATCTGGGGTATATGTGTGTGAAAAGAGGGGGTGGGGAAGAGAGGCATAAACATTCACAACCTATCTATACACAGCAGACATCAATAAAAGCTGCCTCTCGAGGACATATAGACTATGCTCATATTTTTCAACCGATTAAATCACTGTTAAAATAGTGGGCATCTGTACTTGTTTTTAAATAGGATTGGGAGTAGGCTATGTAATTTAGGGAGGGGAGGAGGGGTGAGTTACTTGCCTCAACCCCCCACCCCTATGACACCCCCCTCCACCCCACCCCGCATGACGCACATGTCAACACAACTACACTCACATGATGGCTAATGAACTCCCGACATCCAGGCTGGCTGAGTGGGGGACAACAGCTACCCCGGGCATGGGGATGACCTCCAGGTTCACGGAACCGTTCCTGCTCTGTCCAAAGTCTGTAATCTGGCAGGTAAACTCACCTGGTGACCAGACAGTACAAGAAAATTTCGTGTTGTAGTTTATATATGGTATAATAAGGGAAGTTTTTCAACACCCCACCCCTACCATATTGTGTGGACGTTACAAAGATTTAAAAAATAGTGTTAGTTACATTTTTGTGTCAATTTATTTTCACTTTAATGCCGTGAATTACATTATTAGGTGATTAGGTCACTCGGTGCCGTAAATGAGGATATCACCCCCCCCCCCCCCCCCCCCCGCAAACAGCAATTTTTGCATTTCCAATTGTGTCAACCACCTGCCTTATCTTAAGCCTTTAATCCAACTACCCACCTGTATCATAAGACATTAATGCAACTACCTACCTGTATCGTACGGCGTTAATCCAACTAACCATTTGTATCGTAAGCCGTTAATCTAATACCCACCTGTATCGTAAGCCGTTAATCCAACTATCCACCTGTATCGTAAGCCGTTAATCCAACTCTCCACCTGTATCGTAAGCCGTTAATCCAACTACCCACCTGTATCTTAAGCCGTTAATCCAACAACCCACCTGTATCGTAAGACGTTAATCCAACCACCCACCTGTATCGTAAGCCGTTAATCCAACCACCCACCTGTATCGTAATCCGTTAATCCAACCACCCACCTGTATCGTAAGACGTTAATCCAACCACCCACCTGTATCGTAATCCGTTAATCCACCCACCCACCTGTATCGTAATCCGTTAATCCAACCACCCACCTGTATCGTAATCCGTTAATCCAACTACCCACCTGTATCGTAAGACGTTAATCCGTCAATGTTCAACACTGACAGGCGTTTCTCCCTAATCGTTTCCGGCAGCCGGGTTTCCCAGGCGTTTTTCCGGACGCCGATGAGCAGTGGCCGACCGTCCTTGAACCATTTGAACTGCAGGTTCTCCGACCCCCGAGCTACACAGGTCAAAGACAAAAGTTTCCCCTCAGCTGTGGGTCCCGGGCTAGTGTTGTCAACACTCAGTAATTTCATTTCTGGGGAAATAAAAACACAAGCTTATTCAATGGCGTAACAAGGGTGTGTGTGTGGGGGGGGGGGTGTCAACCCCAGGAATATTTGAAACAATCAATATAAATATTCTTCGCTTTATATCTTCGTATAGAAATATGCTTTTAGAATGGGGAGAGTAACGTCTATAGAGTAGGCATATATAGAAGAGAGTTAGATGGAAACTAGTGAGAATCCGCCCCATGTATACGTGTGGATAAATACAGATTTGCGCCAGGGGTGCCGAAATAAGTACCTACGCCACTGCAATCATAAAAACAAGGTCTTCAATTATGTCTAATTATTGCGCCGTTTTTAATTAGGCTTGTTTACTGCACGTTTGTATAGCGCTAAGGTCAGGAATAACGACGCCATGGGAAGAGTGAGAAGAGGCGGGGGGGGGGGGGGATGGCTTTTTTAAATGAAAAATTATAAAAAGTCTTTTTAGGTATCGTAGAAAGAAAGTATGGAAGTTTTGTTGTTAATGAATTACTACGACTAACTTTTTCTGAGAAATATCTAGGTTAATTTAAAAAAAAAATGAGGAAAACAAATACGTTTATAAAATAATCCGTCAGTAAAATGGTACGCTGGATAAATAAGAATATTTTTTCTATCACTGATCTCACACAAAAAAATACAGACAAGACAAATATTAAATTCGTCTGTGTCAATATATGTTAAAATCGAATTAAAAACATTTTTAAAAAAAACATTATCGGTTTATGTTTAACATTCCCGTTCAGAATATATACTTCAAAATGGTAAAATGTAGATATTTTAACAAAAAAAAATTATACCAGATAGCTAGTTAACTCAGTGACTTCCCCTTAATACTAAAACATAGCAAAACTTTAACTGTAGCAGACAAAGAAATAGAGAATTAACCCTATTACGCCCAACTCCGCCCGCTTGAAACATAAAACACAGCAAAACACTAAGTGTAAGCGATAAACAATTGGCCAATTATTAACCCAATGACGACCCACTTTCACCTACCACCCACATTGCACCACGGGAAACATTTTTTGCTCGTCTTTTATCTGAGCAATCATTTTTTTTACTCACCAAGCACGTGCTCAGCCAGTGCATTAAAGCCACGCTAGCGCACGGGATTTTTCCGGCCCTACCCACAGCCACTTTTTGCTCTACCCACAGTCTTACTTTACCCTACCCACAACCACATTTTTACCAGCAGATATACGAACTTAATCACCAGAATTTCCCGCAAAAACTCGTTTGTTGAAGCGATTATTGAAAAAATATGCTAGGTACAAATCTATCGGAAACTAATTTAAAATACTTACCGTGGTTGTATTGGGCGGTCTTTTTTTAATTAAAAATATTTATGGCAATTTTAGCATGGCTGTTAATTTTTTTCCACACCTAATGAACCAGTGTTTATATTTATTGTCCGATCAATAATTGTAATGATTAATGATTAATTAAAAATTAATTCCACGCATGTGAAGCTACGAATTGTTTCAAACTAATAAAGTAAAACCATTTGTCTGTCAGTATGTTTTGAAAAATTAGCAAATAAATATTTTAAAAAATATATTTGCCTTTTATAAAGTAGATATTTTTCCTAACGTGTCATTAGATATTGAATTGCAGCTTCCTTGTACATAGAGGATTTGCACCGATTACCAAGTGCCAAGGGAAACTACTCAATCAAAAATGGAAAACGTAGCAATCTACATTTTTATGTGCCAAATTTTTACATGTGTTAATATTTAGTGGAGAGACGATGTGTGGGAGAGACATCGTGTGTGTGTGTGTGTGTGCCTGCCCTATCTGCACCAGATATCATTATATGGTTTCTGACATCAGAGGCGTTTCTAGGGTGGTGTTTAAGTGGGGGTGGGGGAAGGGGCAATCCTTACATGATCATTTATTTTAAAAGATATAGATATTAAAATATTTTTGGGGACGGCAAAATCGAATATATATATATATATATATATATATATATATATATATATATATATATATATATATATATATATATATAATTGCATATGTGTATATATATAACTGCATATATGTATATATATAATTGCATATATATATATATATATATATATATATATATATATATATATATATATATATATATATATATACATATATATATATATATATATATATATATATATATATATATATAATTGCATATATATATATATTTGCATATATATATATATATAATTACATATATATATATATATTTGCATATATATATATATATATATATATATATATATATATATATATATATATATATATATATATATATATATATATATATATATATATATATATATATATATATATATATATATACAGTAAGATGAAAAACATCTAGCCCTGGTTCAGCTCATACCTGGATCTCTGTGTACTGTCATCCCCCTCTCATTGATAGGGACACCAAAAAATAAACCATCTTCCAGTAACATCTTGACGGTCGAGTTGACCGCTGAAATCTCGGGTTTTCTCACGAGAAAGTGGAACGTGACGTTCTCTGTCCTGAAAGGATGAGACAAATAAATATGCCGAGGTTCAGAATGATAACGATGTTTATCTTTTATTCAAAATAATTAATTTTTTTATGTTTTAAGATTAAGTATTTTATTTTAGCTTAAGTTGTGTAACTTGAATGAAGATGTGTGTTGTGTTTTAATTTAGAAAGCGACTTTTTGATCAGCCGTTAAAAGTACACATTGTTGAGAGAAAATCTTGAAATAATAACTAGATGATTACCCATGCTTCAAAGTAGGCCGTACACATTTTTAAAAATCTTTCCATATTCGTATTAACAATTTTGTTTAGAGAAAAATTAAAGGTTCACTAAACAAATGTTCCAATCGTATAATCGTATAATGCAACGCTTTGTATTATTAAAACAATTTATTAAAATAAATTAAAAACTAACTAGACTGTAAATTAGTATAAATAGGAAGATTGTTTAAGTACTGATGTAAATTGCTCAATGCATTCCAAATGTATCTCTAAATGTCTCCGACAGCTAGCTAAAAAGCTAAAACAGAAAAGCAAACCAATAAAATACGGCTTTTTTTACTTTCTCGTATATACGAAGTATAGAGAAAGTCTTATAATCGTGCAAAAAAAAAAATCGAGATTTTTGCAAATCTCGACGTTTTACATCTCACTGATACGGAAAAACATAATTTTGCAATCTTGTCCGTATGTCTGTGTGTCCGTGTGTGTGTGTGTGTGTGTGTCCGTGTGTAAACACGATAACTTGAGTACCGTTACAGCTAGGTTGATGAAATTTCATATACAAGTATTATATCAAAATCGTAGATCCGTATCAACTTTTGAGCGATTTCGGATAACCGGAAGTGGTACTTTTTCTACTTTGAATTTTTCAAAAGCCTATAACTTGAGTACTATTTCAGATAGATAAATGAAATTTCACATGTAAGTAAAAGATCTAATTCTCTACCTTCTGTTAAATTTTGAGTAATTTCCCTTGACCGGAAGTAGTACTTTACGCTACTTCCGATTTCTCAAAAAACTAATGTAAATTTATAAAGTACTAATACTATTGCGCACTATTATACACACCTTTATTAGGCGTTCGCTTGGTGCGCAATTGTTTTTTACTGAGATTCTATTCTATTTTTAAAAGTTTCAGTATTTAAAATGGATTAAAGATCATAACTATATCCCCAGTTACCATCCCCTGTTGTTTTATATAAGAATATTCGAGAAAGTTTAGGGGAGATCACTACCGGTTTATTTTACCGGCCTACGTTTCTGCATATTTAAGACTAATGAAGTTAATAATTATTTTTTGTAATAAAAATGAACCTAAAAAAAAAAAGCAAAAATATAAAAAAAAATATAAAAAATAAAATTAATTATGGTAATGCAATCAAGGAGAAATCAAAAGTATTAGAAAAATCACATTATTGGCAAAATGTTTTGCAAAGTTGAAATTTGCATTTAAATTAATTCTAAAAAATGATATTAAAAGTTGGCCAATTTATTAGGTATCCTTCTTAAAACTTCTACACGGTTCAGCCAGTAAAAAATTTAAAAAATATATTTGAAATAACATTTAATTTAATTAAAAATTCAGACGTTCAAATGGTGGGAAGGGGACGGTTAGAAAGATGCTACTATCATACATGATCTTAGGGTCGCTGTTCAACTTTAACTACTCGTTTACTGAATCACAATGTTTTGTGATGCCTATAGAATTTTTAAAATATAGGCCCTACATTTCAAATAGCAAGCAAACAATTTATTGCTGGTGTGAGAGTATCAAAGAGTCGACGTCAAAAAGATGCCAGAAGAATTTCTCGTCTAATGATCCGAAAAATATTCAAAAAAAATAATAAAAACTAGATAAAAATTCTTTGAAGACGCTTTGATTGGCCCGAGATAACATCAAATGAGATGTAATAAAAAACAAAGTCTGATAAACATATCTAGAGGCGTTGAAGAACTTCTTTTAGATTGATAAGCTTGGGAAATCTGAATTGTAGAGTAGTTGCCGCTGTTAATTAAATTAAAAAGAACATGAACACACGTTTTCTTTTTCGTCTTCTTCTTCTGAATGTTAAATAAAAATGTAGACGTTAGCGCTACCTTAAGGAATTCAAATAATGAAACTCTAGCTGTTCCTTTAGAACAGGGGTCTCCAAACTTTTCAGTCCGAGGGCCGCATTAACTATCAAATTTCAGTTCGGGGGCCAGTTAGTTCCTGGCATGTCTTTGATTTTTCTGGGCAAAGTTCCTCAGCCATCACCAACAAACGTTTTTTCCGTGAACAAAAAGATCTCCGCGGGCCGGATGAGAGGACCTCGCGGGCCGCATCCGGCCCGCGGGCCGTAGTTTGGAGACCCCTGCTTTAGAAGTTCGAATGATGAAACTGTAGCTGGTTCCATAGAAGTTCGAACGATGAAACACGAGCGGTTAACATAGAAGTTCGAATGATGAAACACAAGGACTTACCCAAAATGATCAAAGGTGAGGTTCCTTACAGATGGGATACCTGTCTCTTTCAACTGCTCCAGTACCTGAAATTCAAGGCCACGTACTTAAACACCTGCGGGGGGTATTCGGTGCGATTTTTTTTAACCTCACTGCACTGAACCGTAAACTATCCTTTTATGGAAAGTTCCCTTTTGAACCTGACGGTCCATTGGGGCAAGCGAAGTAGAGTTTACCTGTTTCCGTGAACTCGGCATATGAAGGATTAGCGTGGTCAGAACTATTTTCCCAAACGGGAGTCCGGTAATGAGTGGACTCAGATTCGAACTCGAGACTTTCGGGTAAGTAGTCGTATGCTTTACCATTCGACCATGCCGCCCCATATCCTTTTCAGTTGTCCTAGCTAACTTTTGCCCAAACCCCATTCCTAATTCTATCAATGAACCTAACCCCCTCCCAACCCTTTAACCAACAACAAAACCATCTTAAAAATATTATATACCATAAGACTACTGTATTGTCTAGAAGGCGTTAAACTTAATCCAGTTAAAATTCTGTGATTTTTGTACGTTAGTATGTATGTATTTGTGTATGTATTTCGACAAACAACAAGAGCTATTGCAGTGGAAATCAAGTTATGGAATACAAAACAGTTTGGCCCCCAATATGATTTGGTATTATTTAGAATTACCATGAGCATAACTAAAGCTAACTTTGTCACGTGATTTCGAGCTCCCTTTCTGATTGGTGCGAGTCTATCCAGTAGATGACTCTAATGTTATTTGAAATAATTTACCCTAACAACGGTGAGTTAATACCAGGAGCGTAGCGACGGGGGAAGGGGGGGGGGGTACATATGTCCCCGGGTGCCGGGAAGGGTCGCTACGCTTCTGGTTAATACATTACCACCAAAACGTACCTGGACAGCAAGCATGTCATCATTAGCTGCCAAATCTTGGATATGACTGGACTCTACATCAGACTGGACTATCGGTAGAGTCACGGCTATTCTGTAACGTTCTGGAGAACATACAGACAACAGAGGATGTAGCAGGCAACATTAACACATAGAAGAAGATAGACGTGATGTTTAAAAAATATCTGGTTGATATTTTTCGGGTATTTTTTTTGTATTCGCCGAATATGGAGTCAGATCGGCACATTATATTATTTTGTAGATGCGAGATGGTTTTCTTTTAAAGTTTCACAGATTTTGTATGCACACGGGCTCGAAATATAATGTGCGTAAGTATTAGATTATACAATAACTTGTACCAAATAAGGGAACTTGAATTTCTCAGAATAATACTGAAAATGGCAAAAAAGTATTAAAAACTAGAAAAATAATTCAGTGAAAACTTGATAATTTTATAAATCATACAAGATGCCACTGGTTGTAAATATATTTAAAACATGTTTTTACAGTATAGGAATGAAAAAAAAAGCTCCTTTGTTCAACAATATTTGTTCTTTTGCTGTGATCTAACGATATTTAAAATAAAATGCAACAAAACTCTCCAGAAAATTTACGGTAATAGGTCAAGAAAATGAAGATTACCTTTCTTTTCACCTTTTCTTTATTATTTATGGGGCTCTAAAACTTACGGCTATAGATATAATGTAACCGCCCGTTATTTTATTACTTTTTAAACCGTTCTCTATCACACCTTGCTGTGTTTATGGCTGTTAATTAGCCCTACGGCGATTACTTCATCACGCAACCGTAAAACTTATAAAATCCGGGCATGGGGCCTATTATGATCACCGCGAACACGACAGTAAAATTCCTGGAGATTTATTTTACTGGAATAGCTTGTTGTTAGGTGTTTACATAACACAAGACTGCAGGATAGACTGAACACTCAGACATGGCCTAAACACGGATGTATTGGATACATTACAAGCGCGCTTTACTTTAACGAAAGAATCAACACCTTAGTTTGAAATAAAATAATACTGCAATGAGCTGAATCAAGTAGGTCTACTCATCAAGAATCACAAAAGCTGTAAAGTTTAAAATTTAGGTGACGATCTAAGCAAAATAAAAAGGATGGTTTTAAAAAAAAATTTAAGTGTTTTGGAGAGTGACGAAAGGGTAATCATTGACACAGGTGACCCTCAATTCCAATGCTTTTTTTTGTGACGGTACGCACCGGTACTGCGGTACCAGCACCTTTTTCAATGTGGGAAAAAATTATTACTTTTCTTGTATTTTACCGTTTATTATTTTTAAAAGTTAGGCAATCCTACACTGAGTACTGGCACTTATTGTTTTTTTTTTTTTTTACAAAACAAAAAGAAAAAAAAAAAGCAGTACCCAACTCTAACCCCCATCACAATCCCCATCAGAGTTCCTAACATCAAAAGGTCTGTATGTTCGAGTATAAAACCACCACACAGACTTCTCTTCCCATTCCTCACGCCGAACCTTACTTAGCCAGAACTTAAAAGACTAGAGAACTCACACAAGAAGTGAATCAACATTTTAGGTCCCAGCACCTGTCATTCTCACGAGATAATCCCTGACAGAAATGATTTTTTTTTTCATCTGAAAGTGACCTACATCAGGTCGACTTTAAAAAAAAAAAAAAAATTCCCATTATTTAAAAAAAAAAAAATCTTGAGTAAGGGTGAGATTGAAATATTTGTTCCGACGTTGAAAAGGAAGTCCTTGTTTTTAGAAGAAGAAAAATGATTGATGAAAGTTTCAAATTTTTATTGCTGTATAACTCAGTGTCAGATTTTGGCGAGACGAAGCTCAATTTTTTTCAAGAGGTCGTCGATATACGGTTATAATTAGGACACAGTTTATTTTCTTCAAACGTCCGTAAGATCATTTGTCCTGATATAATTTTTCCGTGAGACATATTGTCTGAGATATTTTGTCTGAGATATTTTGTCTTAGATCATTTGTGCTTGAAATAATTTGTCCTGGGATATTTTGTCTGAGATCATTTGTCATGTCATCCCATCGCCACATACATCTTCCAACACCCAAATGCACGAGCATGCTATTCATTAACATAGGTCAACAACATGGACGAAACACCCAGAGTTCCTTCCAGGCATCTCTTCTACCTCCCCCCCCCCCCCCCCGAACGAAATGAAATTTATATAATTTATATAGAAAATATATACTTTTAACAGTGTCCCCCCCCCCCCTGAAGAAAGTCTACCGCCCCACCCCCCCCCCCCCCCCCCGAAAATTTCAAGTGCACCCCCCCCCCTCCCGGAGAAAAAAGTCTGGAAGCAACACTGGAAACACCCCCACCTTCAACCTCACCCGACTCCTGAAATGTAAAACAATAGGGGAAAAACCTAGAGCTTTTATATCCCCCCCCCCCACAATCACCTCTCCACAACATCACTTCTTGCACAATTAGTGAGACAGTGAGACAGTAATCGATACCAAAAGAGGAAAACAAAATCTCGTGAAATGGTGTCATCTCGTCATCAACCTAAAAATAGACTAACAAAGTGGCGATGGAATTCCCGATACGGGAGAAACTTGGAGAAAAAAGAAGTCCACAAACATGCAAGAGACAAACGTTAAACACTACCATTGTTGAAGTTTGCAAGCGAGCTGAACTGAGTCGTTGTGTGGTAGTACCACTTTTAAAAATAACAACACATAACACTGTTGTGCATTTGTAATTTGATCATTGACAGCAAAATTTAATGGACACGTGAAGCCCAAAATAACGCAACTGATAATTGTATTTTATTGCAGCTTTGTTTCTCTTACCATGACTTATATAGTCCATATAGATATGATAATTTCCAAGCAACACGGACTTTGGATAATTATACAAGCGTGTTGTTTCATAAGACAATTTTAAACAGACTTTTGTTCTTACTTTTATATATACCACGGGGATATAATTTATGCCAATTCAAAATACACTATAATGAACTCTTCTGAAAAATGGGGTGCCATGTTGCTAGTATTATTGTTTATTTATTAGGAATTTTTTTATACCAGTGTCCGATAATAGAATCTTCCTTAAAAGGGGGTGTTAGATTACTGGTAGTTAACTAAAATACACATGTCTTGCTAAAGCCAATGATAACCCTAGACCAATCCCTTGTTCTACCCTAATTAATAATTTCTAGCTATAAAATATACATCTAGTCGAGATTAAAATACCACTAAGAGTCTATTATCGGGCATCGATATCCCAACCATCCGATGTGGCTAAACTAAGACATCCATTTTTCGAGTCCATTGTCGCACACTAATAATACCGATACCCCAAGAAAATTAAGTCTTTTATTTTGGCTGTGTTGCCCCGGCCAATCAAAACTGACCTTCTTCAATGCAGGTGGAGTTGTTGTCGCCCAGTAGGTAGCCTTCTGGACATGCGCACTGGAGGGCTTGGGTCTCTTCCGAGATGTCACAGTAATGGGAGCAGTTCAGTGAGGCACATTCTGGAATAGAGTGGTCATATTGTGGTGGGGGTCATATTGTGGTGAGGGGTTACATTGTGGTGGGGGGTCACATTGTGGTGGGGGTCATATTGTGGTGGGGGGTCACATTGTGGTGAGGGGTCACATTCTTGAATAGAGGGGTCACATTCTGGAATAGAGGGGTCACATTCTGGAATAGAGGGGTCACATTGTGGTGGGGGCACATTCTGGAATAGAGGGGTCACATTCTGGAATAGAGGGGTCACATTGTGGTGAGGGGTCACATTGTGGTGGGGGCACATTCTGGAATAGAGGGGTCACATTGTGGTGAGGGGTCACATTGTGGTGGGGGGTCACATTGTGGTGGGGGGTCACATTGTGGTGAGGGGTCACATTGTGGTGAGGGGTCACGTTGTTGTGAGGGCACATTGTGGTGGGGGCACATTGTGGTGAGGGGTCACATTGTGGTGAGGGCACATTGTGGTGGGGGCACATTCTGGAATAGAGGGGTCACATTGTGGTGAGGGGTCACATTGTGGTGGGGGGTCACATTGTGGTGAGGGGTCACATTGTGGTGGGGGCACATTCTGGAATAGAGGGGTCACATTGTGGTGAGGGGTCACATTGTGGTGGGGGCACATTCTGGAATAGAGGGGTCACATTGTGGTGAGGGGTCACATTGTGGTGGGGGCACATTCTGGAATAGAGGGGTCACATTGTGGTGAGGGGTCACATTGTAGTGAGGGGTCACATTCTGGAATAGAGGGGTCAGATTGTGGTGGGGGGTCAAATTCTGGAATAGAGGGGTCACATTGTGGTGAGGGGTCACATTGTAGTGAGGGGTCACATTCTGGAATAGAGGGGTCAGATTGTGGTGGGGGGTCAAATTCTGGAATAGAGGGGTCACATTGTGGTGAGGGGTCACATTGTAGTGAGGGGTCACATTCTGGAATAGAGGGGTCAGATTGTGGTGGGGGGTCAAATTCTGGAATAGAGGGGTCACATTGTGGTGAGGGGTCACATTGTAGTGAGGGGTCACATTCTGGAATAGAGGGGTCACATTGTGGTGAGGGATCACATTGTGTTGAGGGGTCACATTCTTGAATAGAGGGGTCACATTGTGGTGGGGGGTCACATTGTGGTGAGGGGTCACATTCTGGAATAGAGGGGTCAGATTGTGGTGGGGGGTCACATTGTGGTGAGGGGTCACATTGTGGTGAGGGGTCACATTCTGGAATAGAGGGGTCACATTGTGGTGAGGGATCACATTGTGTTGAGGGGTCACATTCTTGAATAGAGGGGTCACATTGTGGAATAGAGGGGTCACATTGTGGTGAGGGATCACATTGTGTTGAGGGGTCACATTCTTGAATAGAGGGGTCATATTGTGGTGGGGGTCACATTCTGGAATAGAGGGGTCACATTGTGGTGAGGGGTCACATTGTGGTGGGGGGCACATTCTGGAATAGAGGGGTCACATTGTGGTGAGGGGTCACATTGTGGTGGGGGGGGGGCACATTCTGGAATAGAGGGGTCACATTGTGGTGAGTTGTTGGACGTTAACATGATAAATACAGCATTCATCCAATAAATATGACATAGTTTTTTGGTTTCTTGACCTCGGCATATGAAAGGATGCTAAGCCCAGCGGCTTTTACTTTCCTTAACGTAAGTCATGTACCCATCATAGCTGGGTGGACTCGGGGACTTTCCACTGAATTAAACCCCGATTTGAATTCGAGACTTTCGGGTTAGTAGTCTAGCGCTCTACCGCGAGGCCACGCCGTCCCATACTATACTATGTTGGGTATCGTAAACATCTTTGCGGTAATTTGTTAATCATCTGTCTGCACGGATTTGTATTATTCCTTATCTGGTGTTTGGATTATAGTTTGAACATGTTGATTTAACATACACTAACATTGACACTTCTCTCCCCTATTCCCCGTCCTCCTACACAAAAAAATGGTTATAACATGAGGCGTGTTCTACCCTGCCCTGCGCCTGCCGTTTTCCACCTCCCCCACCCCACTCGCCCGTGCATTAGAGCGGGTGACTAATTAATAAATCAGCTCAAACGATCGAACATGTGTATGTCCTACCCCCCCCCCCCCCCCTCCACCCTCCTCATCCTTTTTTTTATCAATACATATCTCTCTTTGTGTAACAGCTTTTTCGCCATCTTACGATTGCTACATGCGTATAAACGGTAAAACGACATTACTACATGCGTATAAACGGTAAAACGACATTACTAGATGCGTATAAACGGTAAAACGACATTACTAGATGCGTATAAACGGTATAACGACATTACTAGATGCGTATAAACGGTATAACGACATTACTAGATGCGTATAAACGGTATAACGACATGTTCGTTTTAGCAAACCCTGTGATGGATAGAGGGCAACATCGCGAGGAAAGCGTTAGACTGGGATCCCCAGGGGAAGAGGAAAGTAGACCGGTCAAGATTATCCTGAAGGACAGTAGAAGACGAGGCAAGGGCTGCCGGGCTTTAAGTATTTAGTGGCATGTAGTGGTTCGAGGCATTTTGTTGCTAGGGGCATATAGTGTATAGTGTCATTTGGTAGTTAGTGGCTATTAGTAATTAATGGAATGTAGTGGTTAGCAGTCTTAAATAGCATTAAGTGGTTATTAGTATTTAAGGATTAGTGGCAGTTAGTGTCATTTAGTGGCTAGTGGCATTTAGTTGTCAGTGGCATTAAGTGGTTAGTGTTGTAATCTCTCACCTTCGTTGATACCTTGTATACTTCTGACCTCACACTTAGGCCCACTGTAGTTTTTTGTGCACACACAAATGTTGACAAAAGAGCCATAGAAATACCTGATGAGAACAAAAACATCCAGTCAGTTTATCCACATTTCTTTTCATCTATCAATTGTGAACGTTTAATCCAAAAAGTTAATCCATACAAGGGAGATAACGGTATGATTATTATTTTTTTAATTCTTGACAGTTAAGTCCAGATTTTTATAATCAAATAAAAAATAAATTCGTTAGGAAGCTCTTTGCTTGAAAGCTTGTCTGATTAATATTGCCAAAAAAACTGAGTGGAAAATTTTAAACCGTTTTTTTTTAAATATTTATTTCATTCATCAGACTCCCGATGGATAGCCTTTTTTTTAAAACTCAATTAGGTTAATTTCACAGGATGGTTTTATTTACTATTGAGCTACATTATTCAACAACTCTCGACCCCACCCCCCTCCAACAACGGTCTTTAAATATTTAAATATAACTACCCCTAACAATTATATATATATATATATATATATATATATATATATATATATATATATATATATATATATATATATATATATATATATATATATATATATATATATATATACTCATACACAAGCACACATATTTGATGCTTCTTTTAACATGGCCCCATAGTATCTAACAAATTATTTCTCCATACTTATTAAACATATAATGACACCAGTCACATAACAATCACTGCAATTACCCGGTGAAGTTAATTACAGCTAACTGAACCAGCTGTCGAGGAATGCGATATTTATTCTAATTATTTTGTTATGTTTGGAACCCCTCAGTTACTGACTCGAAGCTTTTGAACTTTAATTCACAACCCGGCTGTCACAACGATAAAGGGAGGGGGGTGGGGGTGAATGAAAGGATCACACTTTGTTTTGTTTTCAAATGTACAATATGTTTCGTGGTTTGACTTTAAATAATTAATTTGATGATTTCAAGAGCTGAAAGCGAAAGTAGACTGGGAGAGTAACCAGGATCCAAAACTTCGGAGATGTTTTTAGCAGCTGGTCAATGAAAGCTACGACACAGCTTTCTAGGGCGTCTAATACTTTGGTTGGGAAGTTGTCTCCAGTAGTTTCCCTTTACCCGCTGTCTCCGACGTCATAGGCTCTCGTCCACCTCGATCAGTTGTCACTGTTGTACCGAATCACCACCCCCCCCCCCAACTCAAAAAGGCATCTACCAGTGGTCATCTGTATAAAATAACACCTCCCCCCTACACTTCGACCAAGCATCTACCAGTGATCACTACTAAACCAAATCACCCCCTACCTTAAAAAGGCATCTACCTGTGGTCACAGATATAGGTCTACCAAATCACCTCCCCCCCCCAAACCAGGTCACTACTATATCAACCCCCCCCCCCCCTTTCCTCCTCAACCAGGCATATACCAGCAGTCGTCACACCACTCCCTACCTCAAAAAGGTACACAATATTGACCAAATCAAGTTCTAGATTTTTCCTACCCACCAAACAAGCAGGTTCTTAGCACTTCTACATACCCAGTATGTAAATAAACATACTTTATTTTTACACAAGCACGACCCTGACCTGACTTTATATATATAAAAAAAAAACGATTCCCAACCATTCAGATCGTACCAATCCCTCGAACTTGCGACACAGATAATTATCTTACAACAATTATTTCAGGTCGCTAAAACTGGGATTGGCACTCCAACCATAGCTCCAGGATTATGGCTGGAGTCTATCATGGTTCAATGTGGTTCTGTCCCGCAGTAAGTGTATATATATATATATATATATATATATATATATATATATATATATATATATATAAGAATATGTCTTTATATGTATATATATATGGATATGTACATATAAGTATATATACATATAAGTATCTTTTTTGAAAGCTAAAACCACCAAGAGTAGTAATGAATTTAAATGCTTTATTGTTTTTGTTTTGTTTTGTTTTTTTGTTTAAAAAAAACAGATGACGTTAACAATTATAGGCTATTATTTCATCTATTTTAAACATTTGGAAACAAGAATAAATGAAACCCGTATAAAAACATAATTTTATAGTAGGATTCATATTTCAACTCGTAGTCTATGGTCGTTAATTTTTTTTAACAATAGAATGTAGTAAAGCTTATATTGCGTAACTAACCGTTATTTCCCCCCCCCCCCCCCCAGCTCATTAAATCACGAAAACCTTCTCCAGCAAGATTACGCAGTCAGCCACACGCTTTTCCTTTCCGCCACTTCAGCACAAATTGTCTCCTTTTTCCACAGCGCAAATCATCTCCCCTTTTCCACAGCACAATTATCTCCCCTTTTTTTCAGGGCCACTAACCTGCATCTACCGCCATTCAGGCACATATTCCTTCCCTTGTCAGGATCGCAGAAAGGACCAATTTCACACCATCTCCCCGAGAACTTGTCGTTAAAACACTGACAGGAAAATGATCTGGAATTAAAGCAAAATGTTTTTAGTCACGACAGACTACGGTATAATTTTAAAGCTCTTGTCTTATTAAGGAATCAGCGATATTTTTTTTCTTCACATGGGACGCAACTCAGTCACAACAGGGACACTAGATAATCAATATATCACAAGAAATTGAGGGTTATATAGATATCCGATATGTTTCAGCTCCGGATACTAAATTTTTTCACTACAAACTAGTATTTCTCAATGTTTCTTACTTGTTTAGTGATTGTAAAGTACGGAGATATTTTTTGTGTAAGGTGTATAAGTATGTTTGTGTCAGTTTGTGTGTATGTGTGTGTCTATGTGTGTCTCTGTGTGTTTGTGTGTGTGTCTGCGTGTGTGTGTTCACACTTCAGTGCCTGTCGTGTCTATATTTATGCACCGAGTAAGTTTGAAAACGTATCTAGATGAGTCTGTGGTTTAGTCATACATGTGACCACAACAGCACTAAAATTAAAGTTTTAGTTCAAATATCAATTCAAAGATATTCTACAAAGGCAGATTTAAATTTAGCCGTATTAAAAAAAAGAAATAGATCCAATAGACTAACATACATTTAGCGGTTAAAGAAAAAAAAAACTCGATTTTAAAAATTAATCGTCAAAACGCTGATGTTTAAAAAGAATAATTTCTCCAATCACGGCATGACTGCCAGGGCTGGGTAGGTGGAGTAGAGTTCACCAGTCTCCACGCCCATGAAACTGTTTCTCCTGTAGTTTCGACATAAAACTTTTTTTTTAACTTGAGAAACTTGATCAGCGATACAGCACAAAGATTGTTAGACAAATATAAAGAAAACAGGCAGATGCAACTGTAAAAATAAACATTAACACTGTACCCGTGCTAATAGTGTACATGTAGCTTGTTGGCTCCAAGATTTTGGGTGCAGATTACAAAATAACAAAATATATTTTACGTATCAACGATTAGCACCTTATGTTTAGTTTTTACAAAGCATGAAAGTCACAGAAACAGGTGAACTCTACTTCACTTGCCCCATGGTCCGCCAGTTTCGAAAAGGGAACTTTTTTACTCTTACACACACGCCCAAAAGATTATGTAAAAGTAAGCAAAGACAAAGAAGTCGAGATGAGGCCGAAAGAACGACAACTCGAAGAATCTAAACAGGGGAGATGACTCTAAAAAGTAATCTAGAAAAGTGTCTACTTATTGCCGGCGGTGTATTTATTTTACGAGTGTTGAGTTAGCACCAGACTAGACTTAACAGGCACGGCGGGAGTAATAGAATATTTAGTCAGATCCACTGGAGTATAGGGGATTGAAGTTGTCACTTTATATACGTATACAGATTCATACACACAGAGAGAGAGAAGAATGTATGAATGTATATGTATATTTTACAAAGATTATTGTCATAATTAACATATACACAGGCCTACCTCCATATAATTATATATTTATTCATAACAGTAGTCATAACAGTAAAAAAAAAAAAAAAAAAAAAAAAAAAAAATTATTCATAACAGTATATAGACATGCCTATGACCGACAGACAGACCGGACAGACAGACACTCACACACACACACTATCTGGAAGTATGTATGTCAGTGTAGTGTATAAGTTTTTTTACTTCCGTAATTTGGCTTGTAACTAGATCGTACTATCGGAAGAGCAGCCAGCATTAACCCAACAAGCCAACAGAACAAACCGAATGGCATTTTTCACCCAATCCTTACAATTTGATCTGGCCAAGAGCGTATTATTAACGAGACAAACGATATAATGGCTCTGTTTATTTCCCTCGAGAGCTCGGCTAATCAATAGGTTGATCCAGGCGAATACGATTGCTTAAACGACAATACAATTGAAATAAATACATCAACATCGAAAATTGATTTGAAAACTAATTCAGGGTAACTAGACTGGAAACGTAATTATCAAACATTTTAAAAATATGGTTTACTGATGCTGTAATTGAATGTAATAAGAAATATTGAAAGACTGTAAAATTAAATCGTATTGTTGTTAAATTTTAGCAAAATAATCCATTGAAACGGGTTATGAAATTTCTCAAATGATGTTCCTTTCCCGGGGCTGATTTTTAAAAATCTTGAACGAATCGATTTTCACATAAATATTTAGAACACATTAACCTTTAACATATAGATCTAACCCGAGGAAAATAAATTAAAACAAAAAGATCAAAACATGTAACTGTTTAGTATCATTTTGCAACATTCGAAACCAAATGTATTTTAAATTAAGAAATGCAATTTATTTAAATCATGAGTTTTATTATTGTAATTAAAGATCAAGGACATTCCGAATACGAGGGTTGTAGTGGTCTATGGTAGAGTTTACTAGTGTTAACCGGAAAGTCTCGAGTTCGAATCCCGGGCTTGAGTCTGTATGACGTCCCTGAGTCCACCCAGCTCTGATGGGTACCTGACTCACGTTAGGGAAAGAGAGGCCACTGGGCATAGTGCTGACCACACTATAACTTACATGCCGGGGTCATTGAAACAAATGAACTCTACTTCATCTGCCCCATTCAATCAGATATTGTTGTGGTTAAAGCATCCAAGAAAATCTGAACTTTGCAGAGCACTAATCTAAAGCTCGAAGAAACCTAACACCGACATGTGCTCAGAAAACCCAAACACTCACATAAAAAAAACTTCGCTCTGGAGTCATACCAACCATAATACCAGTAGCGTCACTGGGTCGGGTGTTACCCGGAGCGGTAACTGAGGATGTAAACCCACCCCCTCCAATAATTTAACGTTTTTGGTTTTGTGTCCCCCCTCTCGCCTAAATTGTTTTTACCAGAAAATTAATGTACGTACCGTAAATTTGACGATTTTTCAATTGGTGTCACCCCCTCTCCTTAATGGTGTCACCCCCCTCTCCTTACTTGTGTCGTCCCATCTTATTTGTTTCACCTCTTCCTCTCCTTAATGGTGTCAACCCCTCTCCTTAGTGGTGTCACCCCCCTCTCCTTAATGGTGTCACCCCCTCTCCTTAATGGTGTCAACCCCTCTCCTTAATGGTGTCATCCCCTTCCTTAATGGTGCCACCCCCTCTCCTTAATGGTGTCACCCCCTCTCCATAATGGTGTCACCCCCTCTCCTTAATGGCATCACCCCTCTCCTTAATGATGTCACAGGTTTGGACTGCACCTTTCGCAACTGCCTTGTGACGCTACGTCTTAACACTAATCTGTAGTCAAACACCCCCCCCCCCACTAACCTGTAGTCAAACAAACCCCTTTACTAACCTGTAACCAAACCATCCCATACAAAAAGTACCCCCCCCCCAATCACCTACCCCCCCACTCACCTGTAACCCCCCCCACTCACCTGTAACCCCCCCCCCCACTCACCTGTAATCTGACGAGATATAGCAATGCCCCAGATACGAGCAGGTCCTAACGCTGCACTCCCCCCCACTCACATGTAACCCCCCCCACTCACCTGTAAACCCCCCCCCCCACTCACCTGTACCCCCCCCCCACTCACCTGTAACCCCCCTACTCACCTGTAAACCCCCCCCCCCACTCACCTGTAATCCCCCCCCCCCCCACTCACCTGTAATCTGACGAGATATAGCAGTGCCCCAGATACGAGCACGTCCTAACGCTGCACCCCCCTGTAACCCTCCCCCACTCACCTGTAACCCCCCCCCCCCACTCACCTGTAATCTGACGAGATATAGCAGTGTCCCAGATACGAGCAGGTCCTAACACTGCACCCCCCCTGTAAACCCCCCCCCCCACTCACCTGTAACCCACCACTCACCTGTAATCTGACGAGATATAGCAGTGCCCAAGATACGAGCAGGTCCTAACGCTGTACTCCCCCCCCCCCCCCACTCACCTGTAACCCCCCCACTCACCTGTAATCTGACGAGATATAGCAGTGCCCAAGATACGAGCAGGTCCTAACGCTGCACTCCTCCGCCAGGGGCGTGTCCACTGGACTGATGGTGTAGGAGATGTTGAAGCCGTAGAAGTCCCGCAGGTACTCGTCCACCTGCAGGTGGATGCTGCTCTCGTCCTTGACCCGCAGGTCGATCACCACGTACGGCCTAGTGGGGGGGGGGGGGGAGGGGGCAATGGAAAACACGCATATGAAAACATCATAATAACAAACCACTATTACAGTAAAAAATAATATCTGTGGATTATTGTCAAGAGAAATGTCATAAATTATTAAATAGTTAAACATATAATTTGTCATATAACAGTAAAACCGATAAAATAAAATTTTGGAAAATTATTTTTTTTAACCCAGATAATCATCTGGAGAAACTTACGAAATAGTTGCGAACACCCTCCCCCCTTTTCCCGATGATCGAATGACGGACATGTATAACCGACCCCCCCTTACACTGAAGGACATACGCAAGATTTCCTCTCCCCCTTCCCCACCCCCTCCCCGCAAGCCATAAAAATATAATGCGTGAAACAATTATTTCGATTGGCTAAGTGCTAAGAAATTTTAAAACCACGAGTTGATATTTTGATGTGTTTAGGATCTAATTGCATTTAATTTGTTTTAAATCTAAGCCTTCCGGCTATAAACCAATGCGACGCTGCGTTTCGCCACAGGTAGATCGTTCATACACCATTAAAATAAATTTGCAATTAGATTTAACTCGAATAATTACGTATGGGATACTTAAACGCCAAGGTTTTTAGACAAAAGCATTTTACTGCCATAATGGAAGCGATTCAACAAAAAGATACAGTGTTTAATTTCTCTAAACAAAAACATTTTCATCCATTTACTGAATTACTCGAGGGCCGGATTGGGCCCACGGGCCAACAGTTTCCGAACACAAAATAAAGCGGCTCATTTGCGTTGTGGGAAAAACATATATTGAAGAAGTTAAATTGCGCCATGCAAAAAATGTTGTCATGCAGACGACATTAAATCTTCGAACAGACTTCACCTGACGACAGATTTAAACACAACTTCCGGTTCTGTTGTGAGTCACATCAGATCGCGTCAGAGTTTAATTAATTTAAAAATGAAAATGAAAGCAAACGTTTCTAAATCGTAAACTTTGGAAAAAAAATTAATTAACAAAGTTCACATGTTTAACGCTTTAAAAAATAACGGTGTCATTTATTTCAAAACTCAGATCGCAACTTTACTCAAAGGATTGGATAACGACACTTGATAACACTATTTAGATTTTTTTTTTAGTTCTTTATATATAAAAAATAAATTATCTTTTTTTTTAATATTATCAAAATTAAACATTTAAAAAAAAATCACAGTTAATCATGAAATAATTTCCATTCTCTCTGAATTTAAATTGAAAACGCACGTTTTTATGCAGTATCAGATATATTTAAATAACTATTCTTCTTCTTCGTGTGAACTCAAGACTTTTTCGAATTTATCAGCCGTGAGCTTTTGCCGACTCGACCACTCCTCCTTCACAGGATGCGTGTCAACTGGTTATGCGCCATTGAGGCTATTGACTCCGATTTCAGCCTACTTTTCTTTTTGGATTTGCTTCCATAGCCTTTGTCCAACCAAGAACAAACTACAAGGCAGCAGTTGTTTAATTTTGGAGTTGTCTCTCCTAGAAGGGTGGCTGTCCCCAGCTAACGAGCCTCATGAGCCATGAGCTTTACCGACTCGACCAATATCAATAATATCTTAAAAAGAGTATTTTTCATAAACGTATGATTCGATTGTGTATCGTATTCAAATTTCAAGACATTTGCGAGTGTCAATGAGTATGGGACAAAAACAGCTATAACTAAAATCCGACAAGTCTTCTTTTACTATAAAGCGGCAATCGCATAATTAAACGTTTCATTTTTAGGACCAATCCAGCAATTCTCTGATCAGGTTTTTCATTGGTCTGACCAAGTCTATTAGAGCAACGATTAACGCTATTCGATTCAGCTAAATCAATAATAAATACACCAATGACCCATACCTTAACTCTCGCCCCTTCTGTAAACATAACCCTAGCAATACCGCTGAACTCAAAGCTAAAAGATAAATCCTCGATTACATTTTTACTGGGAAATTAGGTAGTAATTTTTATTCTACCGATTATATATTATATATTATATATATTATATATATTATATATTATATATATATTATATATATATATATATATATATATATATATATATATATATATATATATATATATATATATATATATATATATATATATATATATATATATACTTGATATGAATACATACATAATTGAAAAAACCTTTCCTTGTATTTTCTAACGACCAAGGTTATCTGCTCCTGTAATACGTCCTGCCCAGACGCTGAGCTATTTATAGAGCCGTGCACCCAATGACCCCGACCTTCACCTTGAGGCCAGGTGCGCTTACCTGTAAAGTTATAGCTGGTGGGTCTCGGTGACCCAATTTTAACCTAAGCATGTCGGGAAGTTGATAGAAGCTTGGGATAAACACCGCTGCTTAAACGCTCATGTTTAAACACCGATCATCAAGCTTAAACACCGCATGACATGACATTAAACACCACTGATTAAACGCATGACATTAAGCACAGCTCATTACACGCATGCGACTAGAAAAAAATCTTGCCCTAAACGCAAGTATTAAACACTAGTAATTTCCCTATTCTATCCCCACAAATTGGCTACAATAATTTGTATATTTTACGATCGTATCGAAGTAACCAATAAATGTGGAGAATTATTTACACCATTCCTATTTTTATTCCTTGACAACCTCGCATATATTTGTAGGTCATAAAAATGCTTCAATAATTTTTGCTTTTTATTATATTTCGAACCATAAAAAGTTCTTGTTCAAGGCCGTCACTTTGGAAAATGTTCAAATTAGCATTCAAAGGCTACACCGTCAATAAAATTATTTTAATTTTTGTTTAAAATAAAAATCATACATTAGGATGTACAGGTGCAAAATGAAGTTAGAAACACTTTCTGGGAATCCAGATTTAGACCGTATCTCTCCACCGTTATGTGTAGAATTTCATAGAATTCTTAACCCAGTGGCGTAGGAAGGTTATACGTGTCTTGGAGCATGTATATCGATAATGCCCACCAAAGCTATCAAAGAAAGACATCGAAGAACGTTTTGCTTTTCCCCAAACTTTCCTACAGCATGTAACGCAACTACTTGTTATCTACTGCCTAAATCATATTATAATGTAATTAATTTAACATAATACTTAAAAGGATTACAATATGATTATTTTAACGAAATCTTAATCTCTACTAAGATTCCTCATCGCAACTGTAATATTATCTAATTTAACAAAGCAGGTTCTCTAAGTATCCTAGATAATCCTAATCTCCAGTATAAGATGATTATCTTATTACTTAAGAAAGATTTATGAGTATCCAAGATAATCCTAAGCTCTAGTGTAAGATGATTCTGAATGACAAAAAGATATCCTGAATATCTTAGCTTGCAATCCTTACATACAGAGTTTCTTCCAGGTATCTCTTCGGGGAGGGGGGGTGGAACCACCCCGAAGACAGTCTACCGCCCCCCCCCCCCCGAAAGAAATGGAATTTATATAGAAAATATATACTTTTAACAGTGTCCGTCCCCCCCCCCCCCCGAAAATTTTAGTCCCCCACTCCCGAAAATTTCAAGTGCACCCCTGGAGAAAAAAGTCTGGAAGAAACACTGCTTACATATTCGTTACCCCTCCATGACGCTAACAAACTGCATGTGATATTCTGGTGATTTCACTTAACTTAAGACTTCCAAGAGCGATCTCTTTGAAGAGGGGATTTTTATATTAATGTTGTGAAAATAAATATGTGAAAACGTGATTATGTTAGAGGGGGTGTGGGAGGAGGAGGGAACTAGTGAGAAGGGGGTAGGTTGTAGAAATACAGGTATGGCTCGGGTATAAAGATTACCGACAAAATTGGTTGAAAAAGGTTACATTTTATTATTAAGTTTTGCTGGCATATTTACAGTGAAGAGTGTTTAGATAAAAATAATTGTTTACAAATTTAATTGGTTTTACCTATGCTATCTACAAAGATTTGAGGCTTTTTGTTGTTGTTTTTTTTCCCTGTGATTTTATAGTTTCGTGTTAGTTTATAATCTAACTAAAATAATTTTATTTCTATTGTAACAAATGGCCAGTAAATAAAATTGCCTTTGTGTGTTTATTTCTTGTATGAACAATGGCAGCCATCTACTAGTTGGGATGGGGTGGGCTGGGGGGGGGGGGGGTAGTGTGTTATTCGATTGATGGGGAACAGCGGACATAAAAACACAACATCAACTTTTATAGTCAGATGCTGATCAATAGACGCCATTTCGTTCAGTGTGTTTGGGCCACGATAAGGTTTTGTTGTGAGGATGGGCTTATGGGCGTTTGTTAAGTGGCACCCATGGGGCGCTATGGGGTGCCACAAAGTGATGCAAGAAATAAGGGCGCAGATGAATTTGAGGCGACACATATTTAGGGGTGCGGGAGTTTAGGGCTTCAAAGATTTAGGGGTGCCACACAGTTAGGGGCGCCACACAGTTAGGGGCGCCACACAGTTAGGGGCGCCACACAGTTAGGGGCGCCACACAGTTAGGGGCGCCACACAGTTAGGGGCGCCACACAGTTAGGGGCGCCACACAGTTAGGGGCGCCACACAGTTAGGGGCGCCACACAGTTAGGGGCGCCACACAGTTAGGGGCGCCACACAGTTAGGGGCGCCACACAGTTAGGGGCGCCACACAGTTAGGGGCGCCACACAGTTAGGGGCGCCACACAGTTAGGGATGGAGAGAGGTACGCCTCAGTAATGGCAGACAATGTAGGTAAATCATTAGTGAGTCCACTCAGCTTTAATGGGTACCTGACACTAGTTCGGGAAAGTAAAGGTGGCTGTGGATAGAACTGTTTACACTATCCTTTTTATAGGAAGAGGTCAAGGTAACCAGTGAATTCTACTTCCTCTGCCGTCTGACCTAAATGCATATTTGTTGCAAGTGTATTAACAAAAACTTCAGGGGAAGATTTTTAGTTGTAGATACAAAACCAGTGTGGGTACACTGGTTGAATAAATACAGGATATTTACAAAACTTGAAACATCACATTTAAGTTATCCCACAAGAAAAACTCGACCTAGTCTAGCCACTGAATTTGTAATGGTAGAAGATCAATACATAAAATAAAGGTACAGTTATTTTCAAGAAAATGCAGTACCTATGTGATAGAATCCAGCTATTGGTTGAGTCTCGATAATAAGAAAAACTATAAATTAAATGTATTTTAAGTAAAAATAATAAACCTTAATGAGACGGGGGTTATGGTAGGTACAGTACCTGTATGAGATGGTTGGTACAGTACCTGTATGAGAATATGGTAGGTAGAGTACCTGTATGAGGAGATGGTAGGTACAGTACCTGTATGAGACGGTTGGTACAGTACCTGTATGAGAATATGGTTGGTACAGTACCTGTATGAGGAGATGGTTGGTACAGTACCTGTATGAGATGGTAGGTAGAGTACCTGTATGAGGAGATGGTAGGTACAGTACCTGTATGAGACGGTTGGTACAGTACCTGTATGAGAATATGGTTGGTACAGTACCTGTATGAGGAGATGGTAGGTACAGTACCTGTATGAGGAGATGGTTGGTACAGTACCTGTATGAGGAGATGGTTGGTACAGTACCTATATGAGGAGATGGTTGGTACAGTACCTGTATGAGATGGTTGGTACAGTACCTGTATGAGGAGATGGTAGGCCAGTACCTGTATGAGGATATCGAGGTGATGTCCTCCTCATTAGGGTCCATCTTGTACTCCCCCAGCACACTCCTCTTGTCGTACACCTGGGGACTCGTGTAGTTCTCGTACTCAGTGATGTACAGGGAGTGGCGCACGAACACCTGGGGGTTAGATCAAAGAAGAACCTCAAAACCATTGTACCTAGGGGGTATCTGATGCCCCAGAGGGTGCTCCAAATAGATAAGAAATCAAATTTAGGCTAGCTGAGACGTGAGAAGAATTTTACATTACACACCTGCATGACGTACATCCTTTCACTTTTTGACGTAATCACTCAACTCTGTGACGTCTTCTACTCACCTAATTCACGTAATTAACTTCACTGTGAGACGGACACCACTTATATGAGAGACCTACTCCCTTTTCTATATGACGTAATCACCCGCATGTGTAAAATACACCTCACCTGTGTGACGTATGCAACCCAACTGTATGACGTAATACAACTCACCTGTGTGACGTATGCAACCCAACTGTATGACGTAATACACTCACCTGTATGACGTAATACACTCACCTGTATGACGTATATAACTCACCCGTATGACGTACACCCTTCACCTGTGTGACGTATATAACCCACTTGTATGACGTACACCACTCACCTGTATGACGTACACCACTCACCTGTATGACGTAAATCACTCACCTGTATGACGTAAACCACCCACCTGTATGACGTAAACCACTCACCTGTGTAAAGTAGATGGTGATCTTGTTGTCCTTACTCGGCGAGTGGATGACCCAGCTACAGTTGATCGGCACAGGGAACCTGTGGGGGTAGTTCGGTGACTGGATTGATCCATTGGATGCCGTCAGCCACCCTCCACATCCACTGTGGATGTTGGACCCCACGGCATCCAACACTCCGTACAGCAAAATAAACAGGATGTATGTCCAACAATTGACCACGGCTGACATTTTTTTTAAAACACTTGAATCAAATAATATCCAGTTTTGAAATATATTATCCACAAAGTCTTTCAGGTGAAGTAACATTTAAAGTGATTCATAGCGTTGTTTGTTTATTTTTATTTTAAAAATAAAAACATTATCTCCCCTGATAAAGGGAGTCCACTCCATCAGTCTGGTTCAACTGTCGATCATTTCTCTCCCCTGCTAGCGGAGACAACTCCGTCCCCCGTCGGCGTCACAGCCAAAATGAAATCCCAGATTGTTGTCTTCGCACATGATGTGTGGGGGAGGCATGGGTGCGGGGTGGGTGCGGGGAGGTCGCGTGGCTCGGGCAGACGGCTAGCGGGATGACAGGTTCATTCAAAATTTGCACGGATGGCTGAACATGGAGGGTGAATTCAATTTTCTGACATAACATACATTTAAAAAAAAATTATCTGGACACGGTTCAGTAAACTCCACGTTAGACTTCTGTTCCTTAGTTATCCAACCCTAAGATAAAAAAAAGACATACACAGTGTTAAAAATGGCACGTATCTAACATTGAACATGTTTAAAAGTCAAAACAATATGCAGTGTAACTAAACAATATGCACAGAATTTTTTGAATGATTTAAATTATGTTGGAGAAAATAGAGCATTAGCATTGTTTTTTTTGTTCATTGAGTTATTCAAATACAGGTGAAGAACTAATGTCGAATATATATATATATATATATATATATATATATATATATATATATATATATATATATATATATATATATATATATATATATATATATATATATATATATACTTTTCCCCAATAATAGAGTTAAACCAAATTAACCAAACTATTCCATTACGTCCGATTAACTCTAGAAAACTTCCCTCCTAGAGAAAAAAAACCCCGCAATTACCAATATTATTTTCGCCTTCCTCCCTTCCTTTGTAATATAATAAGGTATTTAAATCTAATATCCGCGTAAGTAAGAATTTAAAGAAAAAACTATTTTATTGATGTTTCTTACTAAAAATATTTGCCAGAAATTATTTATGGAATGGCGGGTTACTAGTCCGCGAACTATGGCGCATCACAAAATTCAGTCGGGAGATTTTACACAAATTTGAACCCAAGTTCCAGAATTTAGACCTCCGGAAGTCGTGTCAACACATCAAAGCGAGAAACTTCATCTGCTAGAAGTTCATAGAGTCGGGTCATACATTTTTTTTATTAAAGAGTTTTTACTTCGTCTTAAGAGCAACATAAAGATAATAAAGATAACGCCAATATTCGACGAAGCGTAACGAAAATTATAATTTTTTCATCTTCCAAATTTAGATTTATACACAGGTGATGTTGCAAAGGAAAAAATTTAAGATCAAAATGTTTTAAATTTAATTATTCCAATGGGAGATAATTAGATTTGATAGCTCAATGTAACTATGTTTGATTTAGGATTGAAATTCAAATTGTATAGGGAGGGATAAAAACTGGAAAGAAAATTTTTTTTTAACGTTACTAGCGGTTAAATATATTTAGACTTTGATATTTTATCGGTGTGAGGGATGGTATTGCATAGGTTCAAACATAATAAAAGGTTGAAGTTTGGATAAGATTTAGGGTAAGTTAGATTGGGGAGGGCGTGACTGTTAACTCGAACGTCCCTCCCTGAGCCAACCCAGCTCTGATGAGTACCTAACTCACGTTAGGGAAAGTAAAGACGGCTGGGCATAATGCTGACCACAATATCCCTTGATATGCCGAGGTCAAGAAACATGAACTCTACTTCATCTGCCCAATGGATCCTTAAATCTTAAGAGGAATCTTTTTTTTCTTCAGATTGGGTTGGCGATGGTCAAGTGATGGATCATGATATATGGGCAACCCACGATTTCTCCATCTAATGCCCTAATACTCGCTCTGGAGAGGATTTCACTTATCTATGTACGTCCATTTTCTTCCTAGGCTAAAACGAGCTAAATTTAGGAGAAGATTTAGATGGGGGTTATATTCAGGTGAGTTAAAGATGGGCCTTATGATCGAAAATTAGTCACGAGGAAAACTACACATTGGAATCAATTACTGAAGGGTTAACTATGTATTGAGCGCTAGACTGCTAACCCGAGAGTTTCGAGTTCGAATCCAGGTTCAAGTTAGTGGAACGTCCCTGAGTCCACCCAACTCTGATGGGTAACTAACTCACGTTAGGGAAAGTAAAGGCTGCTGGGCATAGTACTGACCACATTATCCCTTTATTTGCCGAGGTCAAAAAAACATATGAACTCCACTTCATCTGCCCAATGGATCGTACTGTCTAAAGAGGAATCTTTACCTAAATTTTTAAATCATGCATTGATGAGAATGTTTGATAGGGTATCCCCTTAACCACATTGTTTCTTTCATGTATCTGCCAAAAACTATCACCCCCCCCCCCCAACCCAACCCAGCTAAAAAAAAAAAATTAAAAAGCATTTAAATAGAAAATGAATTGTTTAACCAGTTTTTCCCCCATAAACCAGCCCCATACAAGAGAAAACTTCAGATATAAAAAAACACTTATGAATAAGGGACATAATTTTGGACATTTGTTTTTTTAAGTTTTTACAACGTCAGCTGCCGCCTACATCTTTCATCATCACCAGCCTCACATCTTAACCCACAACCACTGCGCTTATCAACTGCATCAGCAGTCCTCAACAGCCGTATTCATCACCATCCGCCACCAAAAGCCGTCATCATCCATTCTGAACCACCCACAACAGCAGTCACGTGACTGACACCACGCCAACTTAACCGTTAACCGGTTAGTGCCCTACGCCAGGTGTAATTCGGACCCGCTGTTTGGGCCTTTTCTTCTTCGTTCTTAACTGTAATGTTGGACTGGATTTCCTCCAACATAATTAAGTATTACGTGTCAACTCATTTATGCGACATATAGGCTTTTGATTCCGATTACAGCCTTCTTTTGTTTTTGGATTTGCTTTCATAGCCTTTGTACATCCAAGAACAAGACAGCAGTAGTTTGATTTTACAGTTTTTGCTCCTAGATGAGTTGCGGTCCCCATCTTGGGTTCATGTCGGTTTGGTAACCAAGATTTTTACCAACTCGACCACGCCGACCCATCATATACGCCTCGAATACACGCTTTTTAAAAAAGATATTAAGACCGTTTCAATTAAAAGCTAACAAGTTCAAACAAGAGAACAATAAAATATATTTACTTAGGTTTTGCTTTGAATATTTGACTTACACGGTTTCTTTCGGGCATCTCTTAGCTGGGGGTGGGGGAGGGGGTAAAACGCGAGCACCACGCCCACACGAAACAGAAGAAATGGAAAAAAAAATTATGTAGAAAATATATACTTGAACCAGGATCCACAACCCCACGCCCTTCCCTGAAGTTTCAAGTGCAGCCCCGCTAAAAAATGTCTGAAAGAAACCCCACTGACAAAGCACGCCATTCACGCATTGCTTCACATACACACCCCTCTCCCCCAACCCACCAAACAAACAACAAAAAATATTCTGTGAACAAATGTGTTAATATACCCAAAGAACCACCGACGACAATTCGTCTTTGTAACAAAACGTTCTTTGCCTATTTCAGTCAACTTTTCCGAAGCCACTAAATTCTTTAAATTAACAACGATCCAGGCTTCAATGAATTCCCGAGTAGCTTTTGTATATCACATCATGGGCGGAAGTTACAAAAGAAAACTAAATATAAGCCAAAGTAGAACACAACAAAGATCGGGAAAACCCTAAAAGACATCTGCCCGGCGGTGCATCGGTGCGCGGCGGTGTGCACTAGATCTTTCACGCGGTGTGCTAAAGTAGTACTTAAAATTTAAAAAACCCCAGTAAAGTTTTTTAAGATGCTTTGATTTTTTTTTAAAAACCCCATTAAGATAGCATCGAAACGACTCAAAAAACAAATTAGAATAATATAATGGGGGGGGGGGAATCCACGCTAACCACATGATATAATACAGACTTCGGTTTTAGACTAACCGCGTCTGAATCAACCACTTTAGTTCAAGGTTCGGTGGATTTGTTTAGTTCTGTCATTTAGACTTGCGGTCTTTTATAGTTACTGTAGCGCGATTTAAATAATGGGTAGGTTGGTATGTCATGGTAATAGGCCTTAGTAGGGTGGGGTGGTTGCTAAGGTAGTTAAGGTTAGTAGGGTGGGGCTATGACGTTGAACTAGTTATGGTAAGAGTGGTTGGATCGATATATTCAGCTGGGGTTAGGGTTTAGTGCAGGGGTCGGCAACCTTTTGAGACGGAAGAGCCAAAAGTTACAATTTACAAAATCTCCCAGTTTCTAAAGAGCCAATAATTTTTTTTTCAATATTATGGTATTTGATTAGGATTAGGTAAAAAATTAAAAATAAATGGGTTTAAGTATGAAATTATATTTATTCATATAAAAACATACACGTTTCTCACAAAACATAATAAAGTATAACTATAGCACTATTTCTACCAACTTTAAAAGCTAATAACTAAAAAACTATGCCACTCAAGTCGAATTAATGCACACTAGCACATAAAAAATGCCTTCTGAATAAAATAACAATTACTATTGAAAATATTCGAACAAAATTAAAATTTACACTTCGGTAGTGGAAAGCATGAAACCACTGCCACGGGGCTGGCCACAGCACAGTTGTAGAGCTGGGCCTTGTGTCTGCCAGCTGTCTGTATGCGCTCTACTCCACCTATTCTTAGTGTTTTTATCTTGTTTAAAGTTGTTTTACAGTATATATTTGTATGACTTACGAAAATAAAATAATATAATTATTATGGAACAGGCGATCCGCATCCTGACATCAAAAGAGCTGCAGGTTGCCGACCCCTGGCCTAGTAGATCCTATTTGGATTTCCAAATAGGAGGAGGGTGGTGCTATTTTTTTTTTTTTTTTTTTTTTTTTTTTGGAACCAATTAAATTTTTTCAAAGAAATTATAAATCTTTATTTCACTATCTGATCGTTTTCCACTAACTCTAGGTGCTTTGGCCATTGATTGTTTGAGAGGCTTTGAAAACTGGGAAATATTGTTAATTTTTTTTTGCTCTTCCGCCTCAAAAGATAGAGGACCCCTGAACTAAGACGGTTGTTGACGCATATCTCATATTATATGTTTATAGTATTGCAATCTACAACTATTAGTTTTTCAACTTGATAATGCTAAAAAAAACATCAAACTATTTTGTTTAGAACTTCTGCTGTATATTTTTTTACAATAGCAATAAATATATCCAAACTTAAAGTTTTATTTACAAATAAGCAGTCAACCTAACGTGGAGGAATTTGTAATGAATATAGAGTTAGCAACCAATTATCTCCCATTTGGAAAGCTAAGTCGTGAAATTTTGTTAAAGGGAAATAACATTTCCAAAAAAGCTAACTTAACCAAGTATAACTAAGACATGTTTGAAAGACACAAAAACCGCTTTAAATTTCATTATATAATACTTTTGAC